ATTTCACATATTATGTACTTAATAATAATTGAAGTTCATAAAATGTTATGTTTTAAGCACGCTTTAACAATTGAAAATGAAACCTAAGTATTTTAGAACTTCAGGTTTTCTCTTCTCTAGTATTAAATTTCAATCGATATTACGAATTAAAATTTCCAAAAATATTATAACGCGTCACCTCTATATGATTTCTTTTAGGGATCATCATCAATCAATTTTAAGTGCATTTCAATATACCGTACTGACTTACCAAATTTTCTTGTTTATTTTCCTAAGGCATTCGAACAGGCAGGTTTTACTGGTGGTAGGACCTCTTATGAGTCCGCACGGGTAGGTACCACCGCCCCGCTTATTTCTGCCGTGAAGTAGTAGTGCGTTTCGATTTTTAGGCTTCATTTCATTAAAAATAAGATCAAATATTGCTTAATATATATGGAAAACAATAAGTCTCAAAATTTATTATTTTTCTTTTTTTTAAATTATTACTTCGCACTTCAAAAAGTGCTATGTTTTCTTTTTCATAAAAAATAATTTCGACGTTGCAAGTGTTAAAGAACTCTTCTTTATGTTTTATTCATTGGAAGTCACTAACCATCCAACAATAACAGTTATTAATGTTTCAAACAAAACACGACACAATAAAATCATTTTTCCATCCATCAATTACGTTCTTGCGAGCATTTCAAAGAAGACAAATGAAGCAAAACTCATCGAACGTGACTTCCAATGGTCATTACCACGAAAGTACTTAGTTTTGTATAGCGGTACAAAAACCACCGTTAGCCGACAGCATAAAGCAATTTGTATTTGGAAAGTGATCTCAGTAACTTAATACGGTTTTGTGAGTTAATTTTTTTATTTTTTATTGCTTAGATGGGTGGACGAACTCACAGCCCACCTGGTGTTAAGTGGTTACTGGAGCCCATAGACATCTACAACGTAAATGCGCCACCCACCTCGAAATATAAGTTCTAAGGTCTCAGTATAGTTACAACGGCTACCCCACCCTTCAAACCGAAACGCATTACTGCGTCACAATGGAAATAGGCGGGGTGGTGATACCTACCCGTGCGGACTCCCAAGAGGTCCTACCACCATCGTATTACGTTACATGTTCAGTTTTTTCTTTTTTTTCTCTTTAATTAAATCAGTGTGCTTAGTGCGAGTTTTTTAACGTTCTCGATAGCGTAAAAGTTAGCTCATTTGTATGGACTGGAATCGTTTGTCTACCGATTTAACACTCTGGTTTGAGCCCCGTGAGCTCACCTACATGTTAGGGCGAAGCTGAAATAGCCTCTCAAGGCTGTCAGCACAGGTAGGAAAAAATGCCTACGTTTGCCGCTAGGGGCGCTGTTCTAACTGCCCAAAAAATTGGGCCAACTTTTACGCTATCGAGAAAGTAAAAAAACTCGCACTAAGCACACACAGAACAATGTTTTTAACTCGACAATATTCTCGGACTGTGTTGAATTTTTATCGGTATGTTTGGGCACCGTACGTTACAGTAACCACATGTGTGGATTTAATGGGATTTTTAGCAACGAGCTACCTGTCCTGATGAAACTAGAAAAGCCTCCGGGCCAACAATAATTTTTCCATTAAAAAGTTAACAGCTGAGCCCTAAACTAATGTAAAATGATCGTAAAATCGGATAGGACGTAAAATGACCAGTTTAATATATTGCGTGTAGTAACAAAATGATTATTTAATTAATCGCAGGTCCTTATTGAGCTATTAGAAGCACAATAGAAATAGAAAAAGATGGATTATTAAACAAAATTATCTATTAAAAGGATTGTCGTACAGTGCCATCTATCCGTAAAAATAAAGAACTGATTCAATATGCATCTGTGTTTTCAAAGATGGCTATAGAGATCCCAATTTGCAGATGACGCTAGGCGGCCAAAACATGCTTGAACGACATTTCAACTTCAAATTATTTGAAAGCAGATTTATTGGTTTGGTTTGAAAATACCATAAAAAAACTCTTCACACCCCCAAATAAGTAAACTATATACTATATACTTGAAATGGTCAAACAGCTTATGAATAATGTTTGTATGTATTTTGTATATTACCTTTTAAATAAAATTTAGGGCAACTGTTTTGTTGTAAAAAAAATTGAGCAGATATTCTTGATCTCTTCTACATATTTAGGACAAGAGATTATTCATTAGCTACACGTCATTACGGATCCTCCTGATCCACTAACGGTGCTATTAGGTACCTCAAGCACCGACCCCCGTCCTCGCCGAACCATTCGACGAGTAAATTAACCCATAGACACAGCCCACTGAGTTTCTCGCCTGATCTTCTCAGTGGGTCGCGTTTCCGATCCGGTGGTAGATTCTGCGAAGCACTGCTCTTGCTAGGGCCAGTGTTAGCAACACTCCCGGTTTGAGCCCCGTAAGCTCACCTACACGTCAAGGAGAAGCTGAAATAGCCTCTCAAGGCTAGCAGCACATATATAAAAAAATCATTAGCCATGTATTTGTTATAGTAATATTCAACTTGTCTAAGAGGTTTGTGAATTAAGAATATAAATTATTGACATAATGAAAAACAGATTGTCGTAGAAAAGAATCCTTAATAAATTAAGTTCAGTTGATAAAAGGCAACAGTTGCTCATACAGACAGCATCATAATCAGTTCACAACTAAATATGGTTAATAAACCGATCCCGAATTTTCGGAAAACAATGGTTAAGTATTAAGCAATAAAGGAGATTTTTGATTGCACGGAACTTCTTATTTCCTACTTTTTGGCTCGATTTCTGCTGGTGAATCAGAGCGGAGTACATAGCGAACGCACAACTCGTGCGCGGTGAAAGTTAGCATGCTTAGACGAGTAAAAAAATATATTAAGTCACTTCGTTTTTTTTGTTTTTCAACACGAAAACCGTCACGGTTTTGATGCGCCGCTGATTTCACTCTTGTAATTTCGCAAATTCATTATGCATTTCGTGTCAAATATATCTCTGGAGGTGCTTATCCTCGATCTGTTGAATTAGAATGTTTATTTTTCTTCATTCAACTAATTTTATAATCACAAAACTTTCGACTTTCATGTTTAAATTAAGAGGTAAAATTATCACTATAATTGTAAGGTAACATAAAATCAAGGAAATGTAATTTTAAATATATGCGCTGATATCCAGGGATATTAAAGAATATTTCCGATGCCTTTCGGGCAAGTAATTGTCCTGATAATTGTTGTTGATGCTGTCTTATCTATCTATATTTGTCACTTAAATACGTATACGAATTTAAAGGATAGTATTTAAATCTTTGGGTTGTGCTTAAACATTGTGTGATTCATATTCCTATCCGCACGTACATTGACACCAAACTTTGCTTAATTAAAATTTCTCGACGTTGCTAATTACAACATATATTATCAATTATATCTTCAAAAGCGTTTGGTACGTGAGTGTGAAACTGGCACGCGACCATATATCTAAGGTTGTGCGTTATGAAATTTTGTATTAGGAAACTTTATGGGTTTGCGAATATATGAAGGTCGATTATTAATTATATCTTAGTCGAAATTTCTCCAGCCCCATGCAATAGTAGTACCGTCACACGAACACTAAGTCTGTTTAAGTCTTGTAAATACATACGAATGCTTTTTTTTCTAGCTAAATTGGTAGCCTTGAGAGACTATGCAAGTGTGACGGAGCTAGTAGGTGAGCTTACGAGGCTCTAACCTGACGTTGCTAACATTATCCCTAACAAGAGCAGTGCTCCGCAGAATCTACCACCGGATGGGAAACGCGACCCACTGAGAAGATTCGGCGAGAAACTCAGTGAGCTGTGTCTCTGAGTTAGTTTACTCGCCAAACCCTTCGTCGCAAGAGATGGGTTCGGCAAGGACGGTGCTTGAGGTACCTAAAAGCACCGTTAACGGATCGGGAGGATCCGAAATGACGTGTTACGAACGCTGGTTGTATTCGAACTGTACGACAGCTATGTCTTAAATTGTCATATTCTTCCTGATATCTATGGCCTCTTATAGCAACTTAAGAGGTGGATTGTAATTTTATTTGCGCCTTCTAGGCAGAAAAAAGACAATTATAGCACACAACACTACATCCTGTAAAATCAACGCTGCGTCTTAAAGAAAACGTATGCTAAAAATACTAGAGTTAGGGCGTTGTAAACTCTTATGTGTGGTTCAGCTTCTCTGTTTATTTCCAGCCTATTCAAGAGATGCCATCACGAAATATTAGGCTATTTGGTTTAAGCAACATTATTCAAACTTTACAGTAGCCATTGAAAGTTTAACATTTGGAAAAACAAAACAATAATCAAATAGCATAACAAAAAACTTCTTCGGCTATTTCATTGGATTAAATTTAATTGAAGTTCAATCCAAACATTGAACAGTCGATGCTAATACCAAATGAAAAGCACTTTTAATTACAAAGATGAATGTCGTGTATATTAAANTTAAGCAACATTATTCAAACTTTACAGTAGCCATTGAAAGTTTAACATTTGGAAAAACAAAACAATAATCAAATAGCATAACAAAAAACTTCTTCGGCTATTTCATTGGATTAAATTTAATTGAAGTTCAATCCAAACATTGAACAGTCGATGCTAATACCAAATGAAAAGCACTTTTAATTACAAAGATGAATGTCGTGTATATTAAAGTCTTCTTAAAGTGACCTTTCACCCCTCAATATGCATATTTGTAAAAGTTATATATTATATTCTTCATACATGTTTCTATTTAACGAAAAATGCTCTGTTTTTCTATACTATTTTTGTACACCGTTCGTTCAAGATCTATGTACCTTGACAACATAAATAATTTTGCATTACGCATTAAATTAATCTTGAATAGAATTCAAAAAAGTACCTGCAGATTTTTTTTTTCTTTTAGTCGTTAGTGTTTCTATAATTATATCACGATATTAAGAATATGTCGTGGCCAATCTGTTTCCGTACATGCTTATGAGTATTTGTAAACAACTCTTTCTAGAACCAAACGAAGCCAAGATGACTCTGGAGCAGCCAGCCGGTGAAATGTGGCAGAAGATCCGCGAGGAGCTGAACGAAAACGTGGAGACCAGAGACTCCGACCTCGCCCACATCAAGGAGTGGCTGAAGAAGGAACCGCATCTACCTGATGAATTCGGTGAGAGCATCGACTTTACATTTATATTTAAATGCATAGTACATATATTCGTGGTCGGAGTCTGTATATTTTTCTTGAATCAGTAAACTCGGCAAATCTGGTGTTAAGTAGTTATCTGAACCTACAGACATCTGAGAATATTCGCGGAGTCTGATGTTGTTAGGCCACAATCTATCACAGAACATAAGATATTTGATAAATGCCTGAATCTCGCTAATGAAATTATCAAGATACAGTTGCATATATAAGAAATCGCGAACAATAATGGCATAAAGAAGCCCACTGAGTTTCCCATCGAATTTTCTCAGTGGGTAGCGTTTCGAATCTGGTGGTAGATTCGGCGAAGCACTGCTCTTGCTAGGGGCAGTGATAGCAACGCCTTCTGGTTTGAGTCCTGAGAGCTCACCTACACGTTAAAGTTACGCTGACATAGCCTCCCAAGGCTCTCAGCTCAGGCAGGAAAAAATTTATTAGAAACGTAGGTCTGCCGATCAATTTCATTCGTTCATTGGAAAAAAAATTCATTGCCGATTCGCCAAAACTATGAAGTAATGTTCGAGTCGAACTCTTCGGTGAGCAACTAAAGGTTGATATTAGTACACCGTGCGCATTTAGACAGATGTAGGTAGCGACTACTAGGCTACGCTCATGTTATTGCTGACGTAGTCTCTAAGTAATCAATCAGGTAAGCTCGTCTGATTACAAAGGCAATAAAAAAAATCCATTCTAGGTCTAGCAGTGTTTTTTCTTGTCTCTTTTACGTACTTTCGGTATATTAAACACGAAATTCGGCATTCGAGCGAAATTCGGCGTTCCAGTTCACATGAGGAGGAACGAGATCTGAATATAACTCTAGTCTGGTCTATAAGTCTAGTCTTTTTACTGGTGGTAGGACCTCTTGTGAGTCCGCACGGGTAGATACCACCACCCCGCCTATTTCTAACGTGAAGCAGTAATGCGTTTCGGCTTGAAGAGTGGGGCAGCCATTGTAACTATACTGAGATCTTAGAACTTATATCTCAAGATGGGTGGCGAATTTACGTTGTAGATGTTTATGGGCTCCAGTAACCACTTAACACCAGGTGGGCTGTGAGCTCGTCCACCCATGTAAGCGAAAAAAAAAAGTGTTCATTTGATTTAAGATGGCTATTATTTAATTAGAAAACCCTTACCTTCACAGATGACCAGCGCATCATGACCTTCCTCCGAGGTTGTAAGTTCTCCTTGGAGAAGACCAAGCGCAAGCTGGACATGTACTTCACTATGAGGACAGCTGTGCCGGAATTTTTCACGAATCGTGACGTCAAACGTCCAGAATTGCAAGAAATTTTGAGTTTAGTGTAAGTATTGGGAGAGTTTTTATTTCCAAATTATTACTTTTTTAATTAAGCTCGTATTAAATACATTCTACGTGGCCTAGTCAACTCAAATCAGTTCTCGTTAGTATATAAAAGAGCATGTAGTGACGTAAATAAAAACACGAAGATTGACGAACAATATTTTTACGATGATTTTATCCGATATCAATTCTTTGTAAATCTGCATTACTTTATCTATATTCCTGTTTCTTTGATTTGTAACGGCAGTAGGACATCTTTCAAGCCTCTATATGGTACAACCGTCCTATTGATTCCATTAAATTCACGTCTCAAGGTAGCTAAAGATCGAGGAGCCTGTTTATGCTCATTGGTAAAATATCTGCAGAATTTCGTATTAAACTTGGCTTTGTTGAGATTGTATAAAAANAATCTGCATTACTTTATCTATATTCCTGTTTCTTTGATTTGTAACGGCAGTAGGACATCTTTCAAGCCTCTATATGGTACAACCGTCCTATTGATTCCATTAAATTCACGTCTCAAGGTAGCTAAAGATCGAGGAGCCTGTTTATGCTCATTGGTAAAATATCTGCAGAATTTCGTATTAAACTTGGCTTTGTTGAGATTGTATAAAAAACATTCAATGGTCAAAAGTCTTTATTATATCTTTGGAAATTACACAGCAGATAAAAAAACCCTGATGATTCTATACACATCGATCCACAAGAAATAACAAAAAACATTTTCTTACAAAAATAAACTCGTGTAAATCTGAATACAATTACTTCATAATGGGTATCAATTGATTTGTTTTTATCTCATACATCGCTGTGCTTAGAACAAAAAAAAACTTATGTTAATCCCACGATAACTGCGTCGCATGTTATGAAACACTAAAATTGACTTCACCTCCATTATTAAATTTAAGTATTCACAAATCAATAATTACAAGTGACACGTCATACTAATGGAAAACTGGGATACCAAAAATCCTTTATAGGTACAATTATCCTTTAAAAAATTTTCATTGAAATAATAACATACGTCTAATCTATGTAGTTTTAAAAGCAGTATGATTTGAAATTTAAGCCGGTTAGTAATTTAATTTAAGCTAGATTTTGGTCTGAAAGACATATATATCTGCCATTCACATTCTTCTTCTTTAAGCGTGGAAACAAAAGAGAAGATTAGACAGTTATTCTGCTGCACATAATCTACTTCTTCGTTAAAATAATTCCAATCCGTGGCCCTAGCATTACGCTTACGTTGGTAACTTCAAAACGAAAAATATATTCACGATATTCTTTTGATAATTTCAGTCAAACTCCTGCATTACCTGGCATCACTCCCGAGGGCAGAAGGGTGGTTATTATGCGAGGTTTGTGCATATCTTACACTTATACTATAATCTATATTAATATGTTATTATAAATCTACAGTGGTTTTTACGGATGTTCCGTTATAACTACTGAACCATGCATCCGATTGACTTGAAACCTGGTATCCATGCAGAAAATACATGTACTTAATGGATAGGCTAATATTTATATGAATGTTGGACTCCCTAATAATAATGATAATAAATAATAATGTTAATTTTAAATGCCCAGCGAAGCGGACGGGTACAGCTAGTATCTTAAAAATCAAAACCTAAATATCTTATATTACAAAATTACTGTTGTAAACTGCAGCTGTGTAATAATAATAAATTAATCATATGTGCGCTCGCATGACTTGGTATTCTATCCTTCTCAGTTTTGAGTTATCATGTTCGAAGATTAGAATCATTGCTATCTCATTACAGTTTAAATGTTTAACGTCGTGTCTCGAGTTAGGCATCGAAGCTCACGTGGTCCCAGAATCGTCTTCTAAAATCTATGGCAATTCAATTTTCACTTATTTTCGTTGTATTAGAATTATCTAGATGATGCGAAAAGTATGTGGTAGTCACTGCTCATTGTTGTTTATGTCAACGCTCCCATGATATAGGAGATTATTATTATTGCCACCTACTCATACATACGTCTAGTTGTCGCGAATAAACTTTTAGTATTTTTGGTTAGGTATTAACAAATCTACCTATATATACATATAGGAAATTTTTTTTTCTTAAAATTCCTTTTGCATTTGCTTGATTTTCTTACTGATCCAACAGTTTATGGTAGTTGCTCAATTAGGGAACTTTGACCACTTGAGCAGTCCGTGTGAATTGTTAAATCAGCAAATATTCGAGATGCCTGTATTACTCGCCCTTAAATAAATGTAAATCTTGAGGTCCTAGTAATTATTGTCCAATTTCGAATGACTTTCCCTAATCTTCTAGGACTCGATAAAGATGCTGCTACACCAAACGTTGCCGACGCTTTTAAGTTGGCCTTCATGATGGGAGACGTCAGACTTGCCGAAGAGAAGGAGGGAGTAGCAGGAGACGTGTACATTCTGGATGCTTCCGTAGCAACTCCTACGCACTTCGCCAAGTTCACACCAACCTTGGTCAAGAAATTCTTAGTTTGTGTACAGGTTAGTACAGCTTCTAAATATGTATAATAGTATATGAAAAAAGTTGGTTGCCGACCTCTGTTTGTCCCTACGCTTATCTCTTTTAAACTATATTAACTATACTTGAGAAATTTTTAACTATACTTGAGATCTTAGAACTTATATTTCAAAGTGGGTGACGCATTTACGTTGTAGATGTCTATGGTCTCCAGTAACCACTTAACACCAGCTGGGCTGTGAGATCGTCCACCCATCTCCTCCTCCTCGCGTCGTTTTCCTCATTACTGAGGGTCGTGATTCCCCCGCTGCATCAGTTTCTCTCGTACGATTTCCCTCCATCTTCTACGATCCTTAGCTTTGTGAAGGGCATTGTGGAAGTTGATGTTCAGAGAAGATCGTATTTGGTCCGACCATCTCGTAGGACTGCGTCCTCTGGACGTTTGCCATCTACCTTTCCTATTATTATTATTACTTAGATGTGTGGACGAGCTCACAGCCCACCTGATGTTAAGTGGTTACTGGAGCCCATAGACATCTACAGCGTAAATGCGCCCCCCACCTTGAGATATAAGTTCTAAAATCTCAAACATAGTCACAACGGCTGCCTCATCCTTCAAACCGAAACGCATTACAGCTTCACGGCAGAAATAGGCAGGGTGGTGGTACCTACACGCGTGGACTCACAAGAGGTCCTACCACCAGTAAAAAGCTATTAAAAGAAGGCCACGATTGGTTCTAACAAATAGGTGTACTTATAAATTGCGTTGGGCACAGTGACGGTTTTTTCCCCTACCTATGCTGATAGCCTTGAGATGCTATTTCAGCTTCACCCTAACATGTGTAGGTGAGCTCACGGGGCTAAAACAGGTGTATTGCTAACACTGACCCTAGCAAGAGCAGTGCTTCCCAGAATCTACCACCGGATCGGAAAAGCGACCCACTGAGAAGATCCGGCGAGAAACTCAGTGGGACAGTGACGGTATTAACTACTCTTTACTTTGTTGATATTTTCAGGAAGCCTATCCCGTCAGGCTTAAAGAAGTGCATGTTATCAACGTATCCCCACTTGTAGACAAAATCGTGAACTTTGTCAAGCCCTTCATAAAGGACAAGATCAAAGAAAGGGTGAGTTTCGATACCAAGTAATATCTGTTACATCTGTGTGCATTCAAATCTGTATGCAATTGGAACGTTTGCTTACGTTTACCGCTAAGAGCGTTGTCCCAACTGCATACAAATTTGACTTAACTTTTACGCTATCGAGAACGTTAAGAAACTCGCACTAAGCATAGTGATTAGCAATTCGAATATGTATTGTCATTTTATGTACTCGATTCGCATGTACTCTTATTCAAAGAGTAAGTCACTATTAACATTTTTTTTTGGGTAAACATTTCCAAATTAAAATCACTTCCTCGTATCCCACGGAGTAGATTGACAATGCACTTTTATGGTTCAAAGAGTAAGCTACTGTTATTTAACTTTTATACTGTTAACATTTTTGTTTGGGTAAACATTTCCAAATTAAAATCACTTCCTCGTATCCCACGAAGTAATTTGATGATGCATTTTTATGGTTAGCTTTACCTGAATCGTCATCGAGGATTAATTTCGGATACAGATTTGTATTTTTTTTTAATTGCTTAAATGTGTTGAGTGGTCCTACCACCACTAAACGTATGTGTGTTACGGATTCTTTCATTTTCTATTTTTTAACCGACAACCGACTTCAAAAAGTTCCGTTTAGTAAAAAATTAGCAAACTAATCGAGGACCGATAGTGATTCAATAATTTTATACCTTCGCTCTAATATCTCGATCAGTACCAACAGGGTTGTTAATAAGGGTTTGCTATCTAAGAGTTTATTTTTTAAAGTACTTATTAATGACTATGAATTTATTTTTCAGATCTTCCTTCACACTGACACTAACGATCTTTACAAATATGTTCCCAAAGAAATGATGCCTGCGGAATATGGTGGTAATGCTGGTTCTATGAGCGACCTTCATGGTAAGACGTTAACCGAATGTACTAAAAGCAATCCTTTTAATTGAAAAATGCTAATTAGCGCCTACGTCCATATTGTGCTCTCACACGGGTTTGAAAGATTAAAATACTGGTGGTAGGACCTCTTGTGTGTCCGCACGGGTAGGTACCACCACCCCACCTATTTCTGCCGTGAAGCAGTAATACGTTTCGGTTTGAAGGGTGGGGCAGTCGCTGTAACTATACTCAGACCTTAGAACTTATATCTCAAGGTGGGTGGTGCACTTACGTTGTAGATGTCTATGGGCTCTAGTAACCACTTAACACCAGGTGGGCTGTGAGCTCGTCCACCCGTCTGAGCAATAAAAAAAATATGTTTTTTTTTCCATTTTCAGCTTCTTGGGTGAAGAAACTAGACGAGTACACAGATTGGTTTGCAGAGCAAGAGAATATCAAGGCAAACGAGGCTCTGAGACCAGGCAAGCCTACTAACTACGACGAGCTCTTCGGAATCGACGGCTCATTCCGTCAGTTGGTGATCGACTGAAAACTTTCTCAGATACGTACGAAGAATGCGATTAAAAACTATCGCGTCTAATTCGAATATCCATGTTCAAATCAAATACGAAAAAAAAAACAATTCCATTTTCAAAAACGTTAATTATCAAAACTGACATTCTGTTAGACAAGCATTTTTCGTACGCAATTCGCAGCTTAGACTAAGTTTATCCTATCAAGTTTCAATGATATCCTTATTGCAGTATTATACCATCTGAATTATCTCACTTGAACTTGATTGGATATGCGTCTCTTCTATCCGCTTATTTTCAGTGAAGTATCAATAGTTCAAGTTATTCTCATGCAACGGAATGCAAGTGTCTTCTGACGTCTTACATCAAAACTGACAGTTGTCAATTTGACACATGTCAGATTGTTTTGAGCCTTGAATATTTTGCATTGTATTACTAGTTTTTTTTAATGGTTAACCAAAGTTTGCTCAATATTGTTTATGAGTTGATAACGATCGTATAAAATACGATCTAGGTTTAAGTATTATCAATAAATACTCTTTTACAAATGTTGGGTTTTTATTTGTTATAAACATACAGCTCCTTTCCATTTACTTTATTTCTAAAATATTCAACGGTTGACTAATATGGATTACTTAATTTTAAAAAATCACTAAAATTGACAATAAAACTAAAATTTAATGATCGCTAGATTAAACAGAAATTTGCTTAACTATATAAATACCTATGTACCTCCTGTTAATAATCAAATATTAATTAATTAAAACTACATAGTTGCTAAGAAAGCTTCCAGTTTTTATTAGCATACCAACAGACAGGTGCCTATAGGCACTATCACGCGGAATTTGACTGTGCCTTATTTTTTTTTGTTATAATTCGAGTCACATTTGAGACGACCATTGTGTCCACCTAATTACAGTTGGTTACTGCCACCTACGAACACGAAGAACGTCAGTGGCCAGGCCGCTATTTCCCATAAATTATCTTGAAACCTCGTTTGAAGAGTGATATATCTTAGCACTAAGGGTATACCGTGGTGATTGCGTTAGAATAACCGCCATACCTCCTCCCAGTCCTGAATATTTGATTGATTCGGTGTGGAAACATTCAGGAGTGTGGTATAAAGCCGTACCGATCCACTTTCTGATCTTACAATTAATGCATCATGTATCAAAAATGGGACTTACATCGCCCCCATCAATACCTCAATACCTAGAAACTCTGTGTCCATTCAGAGACTTTGGAACGTACCTCCCTTCACGGACTTTCCTGGGCTCTGCGTTAATTCCTTCTACGAGCAACGATAGGCATTGCTTAACTGGGCCCTGATGGGGATTTGTATATACAAAGCTGTCTACAATGACACTAAAAAAACCATTTATAATTACAACTGTCCCAGGATCCACCTTTAATAGCATCGCACCGGAAACCTAATCGATATTTTCACGCTCAATAGCTCTCGTCAAGTGTGACGGTGGCGATTGAGTAATCTTCGTTGCGCTGTCGTGACGGTCTGATTGCAGTCGCCGCAACCGATGTACAGCAATAGTACGAAACGATAAGCAACAGGGTCGCATTGGGTTACGCAATTCTAGCATTTTAGGTGAATGTCATTGTTACGAGTTGTTACTCCGTTGAAACTAATAGTCGAAATAAGAATTTGCAAACTACAATACGTATCACGTATGTCATGTTGGGATTAAGATATCTTTATTTGATCATTGGTCTACTGATGGCACTGCTATATTTATGACCTCCGGTATCCATTTAGCATTTTTTATTGCTTAGATGGGTGGACGAGCTCACAGCCCACCTGGTGTTAAGTGGTAAGTGGAGCCCATAGATATCTACAACGTAAATGCGCCACCCACCTTGAAATATAAGTTCTAAGGTCTCAGTATAGTTACAACGGCTGCCCCACCCTTCAAACCGAAACGCATTACTGCTTCACAGTAGAAATAGGCAGGGTGGTGTTACCTACCCGTGCGGACTCACAACAGGTCCTACTACCAGTAAAAGCTCAGTTGTCCATTTAGAAAAATAACAAAGGGAATGTCCTAATTTTGAGCAAGTGGTATCTGGCGTCGAGGAGTATTTGACCTTAGAAGGAAGATTCGGCAGTTCGATTAATGGTTCTAATAGTCGAAGATTATAGAATGAATCATTCTAAAACTTCAAGACAGAGCTTTGATGCAACTAACTCATGGTGTTGCCAAATAATGTGCAATAACTTGATCTCGCAAACCAATTCAAACGCTCGTGTGGAAATTGCGCAATGGCATAGCGAAAACATATTTTAAGACCATCGTTCACTAGAGAAGTTTGACACACAATAAAAACATTACGACCATCTGGTGTAGTGGTAAGTGACATGGTCACTACATAAGGGGGTTGCGGGTTCGAATCCTGCCAAGGGAAGATATTTGTATGATAAATATAAATGTCTTTTCCAGGGTTATGGATGTATATTAAATATATGTATGTGTATAATAAAAATCTTACATTTATTTCCGTTATCTGGTACCTGTAACACAAGTTCTTTACGAATTTATCACGGGACCAGTTAACGTGGCGTGATTGTTAGTAAATATTTATTTATTTATTATTTATTTATTCTCAAAAATGCAAGTAATATAAATATGAATATTTTAGATCCAAATTCGATCATAATCACAGATACATCAAGATATAGATTCGTTTTACTAATATATTTTTTTAAATATTTTATTATTTACACTGTATTTTGTGTCTACAAAAGTTTGCAAAGCACTGTTTTCAATTATGTTACTTGTTTAGAAACTAAAGTTAGTCAAAAATTTTTTATAAAATAGATTGACAAGTAGCGCAGAAGTATACTGAGCTATTTTGTCGTTGCCTACTAAATGTTGGGCGTTACAAGCAGTCACACATTACATGTGCCTAAAACTATAAAAAGTCAACAACAAAATGTAAATTTTTTTTTAAGAGATTTTATGACCTGGTTACTGAGACCTTTAAGTCATGTCTTATTTTAATGTATATTCTTAATTTTATGAAAAATGATATTATGGAGTGAAATGAAATGAAAATGACTAATTTGAGACATTAATCAACTGGGATGAAATTAAATGAGATGAAATCTAATCTCAGTAAAATGGTGGTTATTTACTAAGATTTTTTCAGTCGACTTTTTGGAGGATCCCGAGAAGTTACGTCCAGCGGCTTTGTTTCATTTTCCCACATTTGTGCACTTAAACCACCATTATTACACATTTAAACCCGAAGAAACACTAAATAGACAAAATAAAACAAATCACACAACTTCACTCCTCGCGTTCCCGCCAAAAAGTCCACAAAATGTAAATAATTCAATGGAATAAACTACCCACGATTTTAGGAAACATGAGAAAAAAAAAAGTATTTTTAAATGTAATCGATCCAACTCGCTTAGTGTGTGACATCACTATTATAATTGTGTAACCCGGCAACCGTAATTATGGTTCTTACACCGTCAACGAACATAAAAGATGGAGCCCAAAACTCAAGGCTCTCTTTATAATTCCATGCAAAAATTTAATCACAAGCTTACACAAGTAAGGCTTAGTGAATAGCAGAGTTATTGACGAAAGAATAAAAGGTTTTTTTTTCCTAATCCTATTCAAGATTTTTGTTATGAACAAAAGCGGTATTATTATTTATAAATTGATTCGCTACTACTCTACACACATTACACACATATAAATATAATTAGTAAAAAAATACTCGTAAATACGATGAATTTTCACATCATTAATGTTTCTAGTGATGTGGGTTCTTACGATAAATTTTGTTTCAAGAGTATTGACAGCCACAACGTCACTGCCGGCTAACACTGTTAGATATGTGGTTAAAATCTCAGACTGCTTCCTAGTAGAAATATGGGCTGGGGCAGCAGGTTTCAATGGATTACCAACACTGTTATTCGTTCATTGTGAAAGTCGACAGTGAAACCTTGGAATATTCGCAACAATTGATGCAAACACGCCGGATGTCTTACCCATTAGAGCGGGACTCATAATTTAGATTATTAATATTTATATAAAAAAATTGAATGTTTTGCCAAAATCTGAGGTGTTTTGTGAACGGGTTAGTATGAGTCCTCCTCCTGCATGCGTCGTGTTCTTCAGTGCTGAGGGTCGTGGCCTTTACGAAACACTTGCACTTTTCAACTGGTGGTAGGACCACTTGTGAGTCCTCACGGGTAGGTACCACCACTCCGTCTATTGCTGCCGTGAAGCAGTAATGCGTTTCGGAGTGAAGGGTGGGGCAGCCGTTATAACTATACTTGAGACCTTAGAACTTATATCTCAAAGTGGGTGGCGCATTTACGTTGTAGATGTCTTTAGGCTTCAGTAACTACTTCACAACAGGTGGGCTGTGCGCTCGTCCACCCATCTAAGCAATAAAAAAAAATAAAAAAAGCTTTTTTAGGACTATGCTCCTCCATTACTTTCTGTACTCTGGGCAATGGATAACGACATTGATGCTGGAGTCTAATGTCTTAATCTGATCGGACCAGCGCATGGGACTACGCCCCCTATGCCTCTTTTCTTCCACTTTGCCGGTGATGAGTAGTCTTTAGTACGGGTAGGTACATTTAAAGGGTAATAACTGAGACTTAGGTCTCTTGTCTCCAGATGAGTGGTGGTATTGACTTAGTAACATATATGGGTTCTAGTAATCACTTAATACCAAGTGGGCTGTGACCACGTGCTCCCGAAATAAATATTTCCTAACCGACGTTGCCAGAAGGAAAAGGTATTATTCGAGAATATGTATTTTTTTTATGTACGTTTACTGATTTCTTCGTCATTTGTGGATAGATTAAGAAAATCTTTTGTTTTTTGCTTGAAAAAGTTACACTGCCAGGGTGGCTCTGTTAAGTTTAATTTAGATTTTCCACTCTTAAAGTTGTTTTTCAATGAAAATAATAATTAAGTTTTATGTAAAATGAATTTATTAATAATAGTTAAAATACAATTAACTATTGACCGGTGTCTAATTATAATGTAGAAACAATTACGTGCAATAACTTGGGAATCTAATAAAATTATTCGGCAAATTTCATATGATAATACTAAAGATAAGCATTTTAATTGTTCAAAGTGAATATAATTAAGCTATATTGCAGGAAATGAGAAAAACCCATTTAATGAAGATGCGCAACTTTTCATATTTATACACTCAAGCAAAAATGTTTTTTTTTTGTTTGTGTATTGCATTAGATCGTCGGAGGGTAATGTGAGGAGGGGGCGTCCTAAAAAGACTTGGATGGCTTGTGTGAAAGAGAATTTTGTTTTTTTTATTGCTTAGATGGGTGGACGAGTTGACAGCCCACCTAGTGTTAAGTGGTTATTGGAGCCCGTAGATATATACAACGTAAATGCGCCACCCACCTTGTGATATAAATCCTAAGGTCTCAGTATGGTCACAACGGCTGTTCCACCCTTCAAACCGAAACGCATTACTGCTTCACGGCAGAAATAGGCAGGGTGGTAGTACCTACCCGTGCGGACTCAAAAGAAGCCCTACCACGAGTAATTACGCAAATTTTAATTTAGCGGGTTTGATTTTTATTACACGATGTTATTCCTTCATCGTGGAAGTCAATCATGAACATTTGTTAAGTACGTATTTCATTAGAAAAATTGGTACCCGCCTGCGGTATTCGAGCACTGTTGCATCGCTAGATACGAATGCATCGGACGTCTTATCCTTTAGGCCACGATAACGTTTATTGCATTAGAGTGTTGGAGGGTAATGTGAAGAGGAGGCGTCCTAAAAAGACTCGGATGGATTGTGTGAAAGAGAATATGCGAGGGAAAGTTTGTTAGTACAGATTCTTTTTTTTTTCTCCTTCCCTTTTATTCGTTGACCGCCTAAGGGGCTATTCCAGCTACGCGCTGACAGGTCCGTGACAGATCTCACGGGCTCAATCTGAGAGAATTTGCTCATACTAGCAAGAGCAGTGCTTCGCAGAATCTACCATCAGATGGTACCTGATCTGATCAGATCAGAATCGCGACCCACTGAGAAGATCCGGCGAGAAACCCAGTGGACTATGTATATGAGTTAGTTCGGTCTTAGAACATCGAGTTCAACGAGGACGGTGACAGGTCCTTGAAGAGAGTGCAGAGATGACGTATGCTCTCACATAGTGGGATAGGGGCGAGAAGAAGAAGATTAGATAGTTGGAGGATCTTCCGACGCAACTGACGTCTAAACGAGTGTTAACTAGTTATTGAAGCTGCCACCTTCAAGACATGAGGTCTCAATTGTAGTAATAGAATATATATAATAGAAATATATACCGTATCCACCGGTGTGGGCTCAAAATAAGCTACCAGTAATTGTAAAAGTTTTTAGATTTTACGTGTTCGATAAAATACCTGCCTGCTAATTATTTTTTGAAAATGTAACCAGTGTGAATGTCGAAATTAATTTAAATGACACTATTAGGTATAAATGCATTAACATAACCGTTATATAGGAGATCTTTGAACCACTATTTTTCTTCTTATTAAGAAAACTACAAAAATAATTATGTGTTTTTTTTTTCATTATGATACGTTTTGGACAGCAGCGTGTAGAAGAAATAAATTTTTAATAAATTTAAACTAAAAATAGTGTAAAAAAAGTAATTTCATTGTAAAAAAGCGTAGGGTGCTTTTCAGGATATTATAAAAATAACCTTTCTACTCATATCTGTTCATAAAATATGTATAACTACTGATACCGTGCACCCCAAACTTTTTTTACAATAAAATATTTTTTTCTTACACTTTCTTTATTTTTATATCAAATTTATTAAAATTTATTTTCTATTTTTTAGTTGGATTTTCTATAAAAGCGTATTTTGTTAGTTCTTTTATTTATAATTATTTAGTTGAATTTCAATTTTTTATTTTCGTTTTTTTTTTTCTTTTTTTTTTCTTTTTTTTTTTTTTTTTTTTTTTAATATTGAACTATCATCGGTCCTTAATAAGTATACCAAATTTCGAGTTAATCCGACGTTTTGAAGGGGTCAAAATCATATTCAAAGATTCCGTTACAAACATACATACGTCTGAAGCTAATAAAAGCGTATTAAAAAAACTCTTATCTTAAGATTATTTGAGCTTCTAACTATTCCTTTAAATTGCCCTCAAACTCAAAGTGATTGAGGCTATTAATTATAAGTACTACTACTACTTCTCTTCATCTCTCCGTAGAAATGGCATCCTCTTCCGGAATGAACAACCCTCCGCGGTATTTCCCGAATTCTATAACATGTCCTTCTTTAAAGAAAATTGGAAAAAAGTTCGCTCTGGAAATCAGCGCTGTGGCTATATCAGCGATATTGCTGATGCTTGTTTTAGCTGAAGTCTGAATTTCCTACAGTGATTACCCCAGTTCCAGTCTTAAATAAGGATAGCAGAAGAACATTGCAAGCTCGCATAGCTTGAACAACTATCGCGGCATTTCAACGGTTAATAATACGTTTGAAGCTAATAAAAGCGTATAAAAAGAAACAACTTTTAAGACATGGTTTTAATAATTAAAATCGGGGTTTTAATTATAAATACGTCATGATTGCAGTAATTACTAAATTAAAAAAAAGCCAAGACGCAAAAATTATATTAATTATATTTTGAATTAATTATATTAAAATTAAATGATACGGTCACTAAAAAAAAACTGCATCTAAATTAGCCACAAAGACTATTACCAAAGTTGGTTGGATAGGGTCTCAGTGTTATAGCAAGAGTCAGAGGCTGCGCTCGCCTGTCAGACATTTAAACAGAATTACGAAACAACTTGTTCCAAACTGGATTGTGACATATTGCAAAGTGAGTGACCTGCTTCAATACATTTACTTGCTTAAAGTAACTATGAAATAATACGCAGCTTAGTTATAGACAGATGATGATATACTTAGCTAGTTTATTACTTTAGTGCTTTTAGATAATTTATGTATAAACTTAAGTTTCGTTTTGATATAATTATGTTATATAACAGTTTTTTTGGTGGAATCAATTCAAATAATTTTCTAAGCTATTTAAATTTGTGGCCACATTTTTTATCAATCATATATGCATTGAATTTATTGTCTTTCCTGAGTTACATAGCAACAGTGAATCGTGTGTCTTAGACACCTAGTCTCTATATATAAAAATGAATTGCTGTTCGTTAGTCTCCCTAAAACTCGAGAATGGCTGGACTGATTTGGCTAATTTTGGTCTTGAATTATTTGTGAAAGTCCAGAGAAGGTTTAAAAGGTAGATAAATATGAAAATGCTCGGAATTAAATAAAAATAATTATTTTGCTTTTCCTTTGATGTATCCCCCGTCGGACGGATTTCTTTTGTTTGTTTTAAGTTTATTTTGTACAAAAGTTTAGGTCTTTTATTTATCGATTGAGGCACTACGAAGTCTGCCTGGTCAGCTAGTGTCTAATACAAAAAAAGATTTGCACCATATTACATTTAAAAACCAAAATTGTAATGGAAATCTCGCAAAGGCAATGTATTCTATTGATAAAATATTTAACCTGAACAACTTTATTGAAGCCATGTCTCGTGTTATTTCGACCTCACTGTTCCTAAAGTAATGTTTATCATCGATAGATTTGATCATCTTAAAAAGTCTTTGTCTGGGTTAAGGGTTTGATACAGACATCGGGCAATAACAAAAAATAAAAAAATTGTGTGGTTATTCTTGACACGGCTTGCAACATGCAGCTTCTCACATTGAAGCCATAACAACTAATGGCATTTATACAATGAATTTGTAAGATATTATTAGAAAAAAAAAGAAAAAAGTATTTATTATAAAACAAAATAAAACTAGCTTATGAAATTAAACTATAGAGTGAGACTGAGTGTTTAGCGATTATTCTAATATTTCAATCTTGCCAGGAATTAGGATCAGCAGAATAAATTAACTCAAAAATATTTAGCGAAATAAACCATGGATCTAAAGTATAAAGTGCGGATTGTTGGATCACTGACGAGTGTAGGAGTGTTTTTTTACGGCAAAATGTTTTAACAAAAAGAAAAAAAAACTTTCAAATGTCTTTTAAGAACTGTACAACTGCTGAAAACAATTAAGCATTGTGAAATTCGAACAATAGTAATTATATTATCAATTTACTGGTGCTAGTGCTTCTTGTGAGCCCGCACGGGTAGGTACCTCAACCCTGCTTAATTCTGCCACAAAGCAGTTATGCGTGCTGTTTCGAACGGTGTATAAACGCTGAATGACTTTTGTACTGTAAAAGTGAGACTTAGAACTTGTCTCTAGATGGGTGGCCATTTTTACGTTGGTGATGTCCATGGGCTCCGGTAGCAACTTAACGCCAGGTGATCGGTGACATCGAATACGCATCTAAGCAAAAAAAAAACAAAAACAACTTATTCGTCAATAAATTTTATCAATTTCAAATTAATAGTAGAATAGGTAAGCTGGTTAGAATTTTTTTTATGTATTCCGTAGAGAAATCTTTTTAAATTGATCCTGGGCTTATCTGACTGGTTACAATAACTAATAAAAAGGCCGCTTCCAATTGCTCGTGAGACAAAGTAGCAAAGAAAACAAACGGTGAGTCAGAGCTGCTGATTGTTACTAATAATATATTATATAATAGAAATAATAGAAGCGAGCGAGCTTAAAGTGATGTATCTATCCGCTTAGATGCTTTAGAACAGAAATGCGACTTCAATACTTAAATTAATAGACTTAAACATTGCACACTTTGTTAATAAAAGGTGGGATGTAGGCCGCCTACGCAAACTAAAGTTCAGTGTTTCATAAAAGTTATTATTAATTTTTTATTTCACAAAACACAATGTTATGTTCCGTGTTAATTTAAAATGGTTCTGCAGATTTTTTCTATGAATTGCCGTGACGAAAGAACTTCAGTCGAACAGCAATCGTCTCCCTTACAATTCGAATGGGAATTACAATTTCAACTCTATATTAATATACTGATCGATCACTTTGCCATAGCGCGAATTTCTTGGTCCAGACTTTGTTACGCAATCGGTAAAAGTTTACCGACCGCTTAGATTTACATTGCAAATTGTCTCTAATTGCGTAATAAATAAATAAATAAAAAGTATGTTACGAGGTTAATTACAAATTTTGAATAATACGAAATTCCGAAAATAATATCTAGTGCAATACTTTGATATTAAAGAATAGTTGAAATGATCAAAAAAGCACTCGAATACCGCGGATTTGTGGCTGTTTAACGTATTTATTTAAAAGTGTCACAATACTGGTGGTAGGACCTCTTGTGAGTCCGCGCGGGTGGGTACCACCACCCTGCCTATTTCTGCCGTGAAGCAGTAATGCGTTTCGGTTTGAAGGGTGGGGCAGCCGTTGTAACTATACTTGAGACCTTAGAACTTGTATCTCAAGGTGGGTGGCGCACTTACGTTGTGGATGTCTATGGGCCCCAGTAACCACTTAACACCAGGTGGGCTGTGAGCTTGTCCACCCATCTAAGCAATAAAAAAAAATACAAATATGAACGGGTAATAATAAAACAAATTTTGGAAAATATCACTGTATAAATGGTCGGTTGAGACTGATATTTAGAAGAATTGTTTCATGATGGGTAATGGTTTTAACGTTATTGATATCTAAGGGCTCCGGTAACTACTTAGCCCCAGGCGGACCGCAATTTTTCTCATTAACGTAAGAAAACTGATCTCATCCGTGTTCAAACAAATCTGTTGATAGTATCATCGTATGCATCATGAAATCAAAGGACACGGGTCATTTTCGGACCAGCTACTCGTGCTCTTAAGGACACGAATGAAATATCTATAGAAAAAACCATTTCATTTTTACATACTTATTATAAAATTTAAGGGTATTTTAATGGTAGAATAATTAAAATAATAAATAAAAAGAAATTAACATGAATAAGCTACATTAATAGTATTGAAGGAGTTGCCATAGGTAAAATATATTTATATTTTAAGCAATTCAAATTAAATCTTCTTAAAAAAGACATTATATTGCAAAAAACTAGCAAAATATATTAACATATTTAATTAATGGATTTTAAAACTAATACTAATAATTTTAAAACATTATATCTAAACAAAAATCTATTTTGATACTTTTAAATCTGTAGAATAAATCATCATTATCAGTCGTTTTCGCACTCGGGCGCATTGTGGATATTATTAAGTGTTTCGTTGCGATATACCTGCTTATTATATTTTGTTTTACATAAAATTAAGTCTTGGCTTTCATTGAATTAGGTCTGTGTTATAAAGTATAGTAATATAAATAATATTTAAGCTGATGATGATGTTAAAGTGTAAGTGTATTGACAGCAAATCATATGATATAGATAACCTAAAAATCCTATCTTATTTTTTAAATATCTTTGTATCCCCATGAACAATATTGATTTTAATTTGTTTATAATAAAAAGGATATATAGTCTGTTATTTAAACTTAATTTCATTACTGTCCTTGAACTTCGTTTAGTGGGCCGTGCAATGTATGGAGAGTGGCCCATGTCCTTTGATTACTTTTACCGCAACGTTGTTATTATACTTTCATCTGATATATTAACAGTCTCAAGTCGATAATCTACTAAATTGTAAGTAGGAAGTTTCAAGGGAAGTCAATAATAGTGCATGGAAAAAATGAGGGTATGTAAACAAACATGACGTCACTACATCGCGATAGATTGTCCGACGTGTTTTTATTTTTTATTTATTGCTTAGATGGGTGGACAAGCTCACAGCCCACCTGGTGTTAAGTGGTTAGCCCATAGACATCTACAACGTAAGTGCGCCACCCACCTTGAGATATATGTTCTAACGTTTCAAGTATAGTTACGGCGGCTGCCCCACCCTTCAAACCGAAATGCATTACTGCTTCACGGCAGAAATAGGCGGGGTGGTGGTACCTACCCACGCGGACTCACAAGAGGTCCTGCCACCAGTAAAAAATTATGCTGTATGCTTGTAATTATGAAAACAAATCTAAATTTAATTGCCGAAATTTTGGAAGAATAAATCCAAATAGGACTATAGCGACATATCATCTTTACCCAGCAACAGTCAGATGAAAAAAAAAAGATTACGGTTTTATTATATGATAATTTCAAATACTCAGTTGATTGAAATAAATAGCAAAATATTGATTAAATTGCAGCACTTCCGAACAAATTACAAGTGTATTAGTTTTTTTATATATTACAGTTTTTACTTCCTCAAAAACTTAATTTGTTTCAAATTTTAAGTCTTTTTAATTTAACAAACATATTTCAGAGTGAGATGGCATCAACGGCGACCCTGATTCAGCCTTCCGGGGAACTGTGGAAGAAAATCCGCGAGGAATTGAATGAGGATGTCAACACCAGGGCGCAGGACTTAGCTGCCATCAAAGAGTGGCTGAGAAAGCAACCCCATCTACCAGATGAATGGGGTGAGCAGATTTCTTCAAAAATAATGACGTCACTAATGACGACACACGAAAAACGTTTTTTTGTTTTTTTTTATAGTCCAAATAAGCGCCCACTGAGTTTCTCGCCGGATCTTCTCAGTGGGTCGTTTTTGCCATCCGGTGGTTTTAGTTTTTTTTATTTTAAAGTACTAAGTACATATTTATTTTAATTTTTTTAGTTTAAGTTGTATAAGTATAGATTATTCATTAATGTACATTCAGGCGAATACAAGTTACTAATTTGCTAAGTGAAAAAGAGAAGGCGCTCAAATGAGTTTGTTGTTTTGACTGCCGAAAGCAATGATTTTTTATACAACAGATATGTTATCTTCATAGTAAGTGACTCTTCAAATCTGATCGCGCCATTTAAGTCTACATACCTACCGATATAGTGCACACACATGTTGACAAGTAGCATTAATGAAAAGTACAAAAGATGGGATAAGTGCGTGAGTAAAAAAGATAGCTATAATTGGAACGATTGCACTTGTTATATTATTATTGCATTTGTTTAGACGCGACTAAAGACGAAACGTCCCAATTGGCCTGTTTTCGAGTCTTCACTTGACGTGCGCTTGAAACATATCTGCTTCTTTTTACATATAAAATATCATTGGCCAAAAGTAAATAACGGGTTTAACTGTTTAAATTATTGATTTGTCATGGGTCCTTGATAAGTATGCCAAATTTCGAGTTAATCTGACGTTTTGAAGGGAGTCAAAATCGTGTTAAAAAATTCCGTTGCATACTAACATAGACTAGAGGTCCCGCAGTAGTCGAAATTCGACTATAATTAATTGTAATTGTAAGTTTGTACACTATTATGATTGTATTTTATACTTCTATAATCACGAATTTCGCCAAGACTACACTAAAAAAAAATATTAATAAAGACAAACAATATTTAATCTATTCTCAATTTGACCACAAACGTCAAGAACAAAAGTTTGACAATAAATATGTAGTACTACTCGTATGCATGCGTGTGTTCGTCAAATACATGGTATGTAGTGTGTGTAATGTTTTCTTTATTGATTTAATGTATCTTTTATGCATTATTTTAAAAAATTATTAGCATTGTGCACTTCTTCTCTATATTCTCTATAAGTGTGGAAAATTTCATACTCCTCCGTCCGCGCAATTTACGTAAAAAGGGATACAAAGTTTTTGCTTCACGTATTAATATATAGATACTAACATACATATGAAGCTAACAAAAGCATATTAATAAAAATCATTGGCCATGAAATAACAAGCACGAGTTTTCTATTAAATTTATGCAATTAAGAAATAAAACAAGGAAATGCATCTGATGCACAAAATCACAAGCTTGTGACGTCAACGTCTTATTGGAATCGTAGTTGTGATTTCGCTTTAAAAACATTAGCTATTTAACAGTTTATTGACCAAATGATGTTACTTAAAAATGTACCCTACTCTGAAGCAAATAAAACTTAAATAAGCAAACCCTTTTATTGTCACCCGTGAAATGCATAAGAATGTTTACGTATTAAATTGTATACTTTTTTAAAACATATTCATATGAAAACTCTAAATTTTAAGTAATAGTGACTTCATGAAATACAACGAGACGACGGTACATGGGGAAACATTCTTCATATTAACATTGAATGAAAAAACAATTTTTTTTTGTCTGAGTTGTCAATTAAAAAAATTGTCACGCGTATTCATATGAAAATTCAAAATTTTAAGTAATAGTGAATTAATTAAATACAAACGACGGTATACGGGAAAACATTCTTTATAAATACTAACATTAAAAGAAAATAAATTAATACATTTTTTTTTGTCTGAGTTTTCAACTAAAAAAATTGTCACATAATAATAGTTTGTTAAATCTACGAATTACAGAAGACGCGTGCCTGATGACTTTTCTCCGAGGCTGTAGCTTCTCCCTTGAGAAATGTAAAAAGAAACTTGATATGTACTTCACGATGAGGGCTGCTTGCCCAGAGTTCTTCGCGAACAGAGACGTAACCAGACCAGAGCTAATGGACCTGCTGAATAGAGCGTAAGATTATTATTTTTTCACACTTTTTTTATTTTACTGATGGTAGGACCTCTTGTGAGTCCGTACGGGTAGGTACCACCACCCCGCCTATTTCTGCCGTGAAGCAGTAATACGTTTCGGTTTGAAGGGTGGGGCAGCCGTTGTAACTTTACTCAGACCTTAAATTTATATCTCAAGGTGGGTGGCGCATTTACGTTGTAGATGTTTATGAGCTCCAGTAACTACTTAATACCAGGTGGGTTATGAGCTCGTCCACCCATCTAAGCAATAAAAATAAATAAAATATACTCTCAAATCTTTGTGTATCATTCATTTAAAAAAAGAAAGTCGGTCATATAGAAGAACAGTATTCAATGATAGCTCTTTTTTTGTAAGCAGTAAACAATACAATTAAATAATAATAAAAAAATCGGAAAAAAATTGCTGGTAATCAAATTAGTTACGGAGGTCCCTAATCTCTAGATGAAAGGGGAATTAATAAAGTAAATTATTTGTCTAATTTCAGCCAAGGACCTACACTCCCTGGCTTGACGCCTCAAGGTCGACGAGTAACCATCGCCAGAGGTCAGTAGCCTAGATATTAACATTGTCAGCCACTATGAAATATGAGTTCTGAGTCTCAGTTCTATATCAAAACGACTGCCTCACCCTTCAAACTAGAAAGTGTTACTGGTTCGCAGCAAAAATAGGCTATGACGCTACCTACTCGAGGAATCTTACAAAATACTCTATCACCACTGAATCTTATATAACTCCTCAATCTAAACTACACAACAACATTACTTTATTTTCATAATTTTCTTCTATTGTTTTCATATTACTACCTATATACTAGCTATACTAGTCATTCGTGCTAACTGAAAATTCATTGTAATCACTCACGAACTCGATACAATGTATCTATAATTTACTATGTAGTTTCTAGTCTTTTGCGTAAATTGAAATATTATTAATCGAATGAAGATTAATCGATTATTAATCACACATCATGTTTTAAAATGGCCATCACTTAATTGTGGTGGTGCCTGTGGATTCTGTTAACTGCTCAACAAACAAGAATAGTACATTGTGCACCAAGGGATATTTCCTCCCGCGTGTAAAATGGAGTACCGAGCTGGGGTCCGGGGGTAGAGGGGGGCGGAGCCCCCCCTTACTCATGAAAAAACAATTTAACTATTTTTTAATTTTTAAATAAACTACTACTAATTGAATAAGAACTGTCTGATGAACACATCTTTGTTTAATACTTCTCTATTAAATTTTATTGTCTTTTGTTTATTCCACTTTTACACTAAACACAATATTGCAAATTACCCGAGCACAGTAATGGCGGAGAATTTTAGGTGCGTGAGAGCAGACGTAGACACTAACGCGCATGCGCACTTGTCAGTTCCCAGTTAAGAAACAGAAAAGTTACACTTTCTTCCCTGTACAGCGAGAGGAAAAGTTAGACTTTCTTCCCTGTACAGCGGGAGATAAACCGAACTTTCGACGTAGGTAGGAGAAAAGTAACTATGGCCTACCCTTATACCCCAATTGTACCTTTCGTTATTGAAGTTTGATTACGTTTTATTCCAGCACTGGACAAGAACCTGGACACGAACCAGCTTAATGATGTCTTCAAACTTGCAATGATGATCGGAGATGTAAGACTGCGTGAAGAAGTCGAGGGAATAGCTGGAGACGTTTACGTACTGGACGCTTCTATTCTAATGCCAAGCCACCTCGCCAAGATTTCACCAGCAGTGCTGAAGAAATTCTTCATTTGTATACAGGTGTGTTTCTTGATTAATATCAAGTAGATTGCGTTGAGCGTGTTTGATCATATGGAGGAGCTCGACGTGAAACTTAGTTAATAGAATCAGCCCGCTCAGTTTTTTGTCGGGTCGTTTCAATGAGTCGTAATTCCGATCTAGTGGTAGAGACACTCGTGAAGCAGATGCTCTTGAGCTAGGCTACATCTGGAGACGCCAGGGTAGCTGTTAGCAAGCTTGCCCCGCCCGGCTGAGCCCAGAGTGTACCTCCCTGTCCTGGTGAAGCTGGAAAGGCTTCCGAGTCACAAGCTATCCATCCATGCATCGCAAAAAGATTTTTTTTTCTTTATTAGAGCCACACACCTATTAGGTTAAGTCGGCTACAAAAAGAATCAACATTTTCAAAACGACTTCAAGAGTACTTTGAAAGAGATTAACTACAATTTTAGTAATACGATTTAAAAATCAATAACATTACGCTTACCGTAATCTTTATTGAAGCGATGCACAAGTTTGGATTTTTTTTAAGTCAACATACTATATAAAAGTTTGAGTAATTAATTAGCCTGTTTAAGTGTAAATATGTAATAATTTGTGAATTAAGAATATATTTCTTTGGTTTTCCTTGCACATAATCTAAATTACTTTTACGAACGATCAGTTGTTCATGATTACAAAAACTGGGAAGTATTCGAAAATATCGAATGTGACAAAATAAAATTATAAAGGATATTATTGTAATTTTATTTTTTATTTTTGATTGAAAACTAGCAAATAATATTATATCATTTTTATTTTCAGGAAGCTTATCCAGTGAAACTGAAGGAAATACACGTTATCAATGCATCTCCCCTCGTGGATGTCGTATTCAACATTGTAAAACCATTCCTTAAAGAAAAAATGAAGAAAAGAGTGAGTTTCTTTGAAATCAATCAAATTTGGTTTTTTAAATTTAAAATATAGATATATGTATTTGTATATATAAGTATACTTATATATAGGAATATATGTAGGTAATAAAACTAAACATTTTATTAGAAAAAAAAAACAGAATTTTTAAATGGACAATTTACCTATTAATTTTACTTATATACTATAAAGCATAGCATAGCTTTGCCTGTGTGGTATCGGCCTATACTAAGCACAATCACATATCTCTCAGGACAATTGGCAGCGGCCTTCTTTGATTATACTAGCGTGCTCCAACATCCATTTGGCATTTACTGGTGGTGGGGCGTCCGAGTAGTCTCACCATCCACCCCATTTCTGCCGTGAAAGCAGACATGCATCAGTGGGACCGATGTTCTAAAATACCATTATATCTTCGAGCTCATGTCTTGAGATAGGTTATAATGTCTATGGGCTCCAATATCACTTTACGCTATAAAAATAAAATAAAAAGTTAAGACCAGGTCAAGGAAACTCTTACATTTTTTTCATACGCGATTTTCCAGCAGAAAGTGGCATCTCATTAGACGGTAAATTGATCGAAGCGGTAAAGCATATTATTATGGTTACATATTGTTCAATACTTTCAGGTGTTCTTCCACGCCGATGTGCAATGTCTTCAGGATTATATCCCTAAAGAAATTCTACCCGTTGAATTCGGAGGCAACGGATGTTCTCTTGAAGACGTGAACAGTAAGTGAATTTAAAAAAAGAATGAAACGTTCACGTGTATATACATATATATAAGTATATATACATGCGGCCCACTCCGGCTCCGCTCGGGTCTTTAACAAAAATTTCAACGATATTTGACGTTGTTATATTTTTTTAAATAAAAGAACACTTATTGCGACATAACTATAATAGTAATGCCGAGTTTACATTACGAAATTAGTGTCATGCATGTTGAGCTCAGTTTCACGAAAGTAGTTTCGATATATGCGAAAGTAATTTCGTAAAAAAATTAGTGTCGCGAAATCCACAGTATCGCAGTAGCCATGGCGCCTTCAACATCAAAGCTGTAATTTGCTATATTTAATGTAGCTAAAGAAATGCTTATATACCTATAAACTTAAAAAAAGACTATCAAGAAAAAAAAGTTGGTAGATTCAAGGATGGTCAAACAAGAAGGCATTTAGGTGCAATGAAATTAGTCTCTGAATTAGCAGATGAAGATCCTGAGAGTTATAAAAACTATTTTCGAATGAGTGAAGATAATTTTGATTTTTTACTGTAGGTGTTTCGGGACCCTTGTCATTGATATTCATTAATAAGATCTATATTTTTTTCTGTACTCCATCGTTGGTTTGCCATTTTCAACGCTTGAAGCGCGTCCGAACTAACAATACACACGTCCGCACAGCGCAGGCCCTTTCGCGACATTAGTTTCACGTCGCGTTTACACTATGAAATTAGTTGCATGACATTAATTTCACCAAAAAATCGCGCAGGGCACGAAACTAATTTCCATGCATGAAATTAATGCATGCATTACGAAAGTATTAAATTACACGTGAAACTGTTAGTAAAACTAATGTCACGAAATTAATTTCACGCCACTAATTTCGTAATGTAAATTCGGCTTTAGCCATTAGCTGTCGCGACACTTTTTGTAAATAAAAATGTGTTCTACAGCTATCGTAGTGCCTCAATCGATAAATAAAAGACACATCAAAGGGACACATCAAAGGAAAAACAAAATTGTTTGTTTTTATATAATTCCGAGGTTTTTTATATTTTCTCACCTTTTAAGCCTTCCCTGGACTTCCACGAATAATTCAAGACCAAAATTAGCCAAATCGGTCCAGCCGTTCTCGAGTTTTAGCGAGACTAACCAACAGCAATTCATTTTTATATATAGAGATGACCACAAAATTCCTTCATCAAGAGCTATAAAATTACTTCTTTCACTAGGTATATGACTTCATACACGACTTAAGTAAAATAAAGGCCTTACGAATGTTTATTCTTTTCTTTACAGAAGCTTGGATGAAGAAGCTAGAGGAGTACAGTCCTTGGTTTAAGCAACAAGAAGCTTTAAAAGCTAACGAAGCTATGAGACCAGGAAAGCCAACTAATTACGACGAACTCTTTGGTATTGATGGCTCATTTAGACAGCTGTCAATAGATTAAACTTAGGTTATAGAATTAAACATCGCTATAGTAGCACACATACGGTCGGAATAGTTTTTACAATTTAGATTTTATATTCGAGTCGGTGACTCAAATTTTTTTTTTAATTAAATCTACCTAAACTTATTTTATTGTAATTTAGTTTTCGTGAAACTTTTATGGTTTATTTCGCGTTAATTGTCAAATTCCTTGGGTTCATATTGTGAAGATGCAACTATAAGAAAAACATTGTCAGTTATTTCTGTGTTTAAAGAAATGTATACTAGGTACTACTATCTATATCTTTTTATTATTATATACGGTTGACAGATTAACTAGCTGTGCCAACGTTAATTGTGTTAGTAAATATATATTTAGCTATTAGTGCATGTCTATACTACAATTCTTTTGGATGATCAGGGAATTATTTAGATACATTTTAGTTCAGATAAATTAAATTTCTGTTCAATTTTGTAATGACTAAAACTGTGATAAGTTTTTTTTTTATCAAGGAATAAAATGAATATTTTTAACTATAAATTGTTTTATTCATATTATGGAGAGTACTTAACGGTAGGCAGCCCCTGGCATGGCCATGGGCGACGGTAATCACTCACCACTAGGTGGCTGTATACTCGTCTGTCTACAAGTCAGTCATTGGGCTAAAGAGAGACGATTTAAAAGTTATTAACTGTAGGACCTGAATGATTTTATGAGACATGTTCCTTCTTTGACCGACACCTGTCGCTGTTGCGTTTTTACGCTACAAAACTAACTATCACTTATACGTAGAAAGGTTACATTATCATAACTACGATTTGAAATGGTTTATAGATAATTAAAATATGCAGTTTTAATAAAAACAGCAATAGCAGATGCTATAATTTTCCGAAATTCTTAAGTGTGTCTTTTTTAAGCTGAAGAGGTCAGAGCGGCGTGTTGTGAGAATTTCTGTCAGGCTAGTTTGAAAGAGCACGGCTGTGCTTTTCGGTGGGCTAATATCGATATGTCATTCAGAAAGAATCGATTTTCGATTAGGGACTTGTTTCTAGTAAATATTTGTATGCTCTGAAACGAGGGCTAGCTAGATTGGCGACGATCGGGGAATGTCGTTTATAAATAGACTAAAAAGTGGAGCGCGAAAAGGGCGGAGACTTGAAAGAATCCGGCCGGGATTAGGTGGGGGAGAAACGAGTATCCGTGACTTGAGAGAGGGCCACTCTAGTATAGAGCATGTATTAAGCCTTTATGGGGAAAACCATAGGATAGGAAAATTAAATTAAATTGCCAACCATGTCTCAAAATGAAGTCTATGACTGAAAAGAGACAAAAACCGTGAGCTAGCCGTCGATGTAAAATAATAAAAAAAAATTCTAATTTCAAATTATTCGTTTCTTAAAGCTGACAATAAAAAAAAAACCAAGCAAATTACAACTTTTTTGCCAGTATCCAATTGAAGAAAACAAAAGGTTTAATGTCATATTAAAAACTATATAGTTCCATTAGAGCTTGTTTAGAGACAATCAACACATAAAAAACCGAATAAAAAAAAAACCATAATGACACAAAATTGTAACCTTGAGCCGATCGCATAATACGCACAACGAAAGATTTATCTTGTTACATGGATAATACGTTTTACGACATCGCGAGCGTGCTGCGATGTACACTTTTGGAATACATAATAAAGCTGTTGATTCTGTTGTTTGTATTGTAGCAGCGAGTCGACGTATAAAATACAATGCGTAGGTCGCCGGTTTTGTTCTTCGGGTAAGGAAAACGAACGCGCCATCCCTAATATAAAAACGGGTCACTGACCTTACAGCTTTTTTTTTCTTACCTATACTGATAGCCTTGAGAGGCTATTTCAGCTTCACCCTAACGTTTGTAGGTGAGCTCACAGAGCTCAAGCCGGAGAGTTGCTAACACTGACCCTAGCAAGAGCAGTGCTTCGCAGAATCTACCACCGGATCGGAAACGCGACCCACTGAGAAGATCCGGCGAGAAACTCAGTGGGCTCCTTACAGCTACAAGCTGACATGACTAAATAAATTTCAGCAATCCCCTTGAAATTTAAGACTGAAGTTTCTTGGTACAACAGCTTCTTTCACATCGACCAGTGTGCTTAGTGCGAGTTCCTTAACGTTCTCGCTAGCGTTAAAAGTTAACCCAAGCTTTGTATGCAGTTGGAACAGCGCCCCTAGCGTCAAACGTAGGCAAACGATCCCATTCCATACACAAATATGAGCTAACTTTTACGCTGTCGAGAACGTTAAAAAACTCGCACTAAGCACACTGTATGAATGTTTCGCGGCAGAAAAGAAAGCGGTAGGCAATTTGTCCTGCCATCTTTGTGCTTTTGTTTTATGTATTAAATCTTACTTTGATGCGGTTGAAGAGAAGACTAATTGCAATGGAACAATGGCTACAGAAAGGAAATACCAAGCTCTCTGAGTGCCCATTTAAAGCTATCAGCCTAGTCTATATAAAATGTGTTTTTAATTACTATTATTTTATATTTTATATTAACGGACATGTTTAAACTCAACGGCAATCAACGGAATAAAGAAGACGTGTTACAAATAAACAATTAACTTGGATCGCTTCGAGGTGCAATTGCGGCCATAGCCACCGTCCTTAATTCTGAAGAGGAAGAGAGTCTTCAATAGTAGAAAATAGTCTGACTGTGCTTCTGACGTTGCTGATGACCATGAGCGATAGTGACTACTTAATATCAAATGGACAGCATGCTCGTTCGTCTACAACGACAATAAATTGATTCCATTGCGGGAACTGAAAGTGAATTAGTTCAAGATAAGTTTTGCGAATATATAAACGCATCACACATTTTTGGTATAAAATAATATAAACTCCGGTAATGATAAGTCGTTCAGCGCAAAAAATTACTCTAAAAACAAAACAACACGCTTAAGTAGCAAGCCGATTAAAACAATAAACAATACATTTCGATTCAATTCAGGATATTAGAGCAAAGTAAAATAAATAACAGTTTAAAAAAAACTAACAAAATACGCTTTTATAGAAAATCCAACTACAAAATAGAAAATAAATTTATATAAATTTTATTTAAAAATATATATAACCAAATATATATATAAACAAAATAACCCTTCTACTCATATCTGTTCATAAAATATTTATAACTACTGATACCATGCACCCCACGTTTTTTTACAATAAAATAATTTTTTCTTACATAATTTTTAATTCAAATTTATAAAAATTTATTTTCTATTTTTTCCCATCTTCAGCATCTTAGATATACTATAGAGTTAAAATTACTTAGCTATACCTTTCAGTATTTTAGGCCATAGCTTGAAATTTCTTAAGTCTCAAAAGAGGACGGTGATTTTCGAGACGTGCTCGGAACAGCCTCGAAATTAAAAAAAGTTCGTGGATGGTGAAAACATGACAAAATTTAACACGCCGTAATCCAAATCACGAAATACGAAACTATGCAAAAATATGCACTTGACAACATAAATATTACGAGTAAAACAAGTTAAATCGATATATTGACTTTTTTTATTTTATTGCTTAGATGGGTGGATGAGCTCACAGCCTATCTGGTGTTAAGTGGTTACTGGAGCCCATAGACATCTACAACGTAAATGCGCCACCCACCTTGAGACATACATTCTAAGGTCTCAGTATAGTTACTCATTAAACAGGTATATGTAATAAGCAACTTAAATATACATAAATTCGCTTAAAAGAACTTTGATCCATCCTTGTGAACGGGTGGTACCCAATATCTCTTAAATGGTCATGAAATTGTATACTTACAACTGCTTACGTATATTAAAATGATAATTAGGTTCATATTCAACAACGTGTGAAGATGTTTTCGCTCCAGTAAGCCGTGGTTTACGTTTATTCACAAGAACTTTCAATCCCAGAGGGGACTAGAAATATTGTAAACATACAACGTGACAAAACACCTAGCAAAGATAATTAATATTACGTCTTCTGCTAATGTGCTTTAGGTTTTGTTTCGAATGAGCTATAAATTACAAGTGGCTGTTGCTACTAGAAAGAAATAAGAATTAAGAAATTCCGTAACGAAAATAAAACCTAACACCCCCCCACTCCGCCTACCACTAACACTACCACTACTGCTTGTGTAGTGTTTGTGAAAAAGCGCGCGACGTGACGTCGCACTGCATACACTTCATGAAGAGTCTGCCCATCTCTCTCTCGCGCGGTCTAGCTTATGAGTGTGAAGGAGACAGTTAATGTTTTGCTTTTGTTAATGTTTATAAATATAGTGTGGTCTTATTTTATTATTGTTTTAATATTAAATTATTATTGTCTAATTATAATTGCATAAGCTGATAAATAAATCCATGCAATAGTTTTACCGCAGCAGTCTTCGAGTGCCACAAGTGTTTTTATTCTGTTCAGGTTTTAACCAAATTAATGAAATTATTGTAAGAAATGGAATAAGCAAGGTATGTTATGAGCCCATACGTTTGCTATTCTGTCTATTTCTAAAGCAAAGAATTTATGAGTTTCGATTTAAAGAAGACGATCAACGATTTATTGATGCACATCCCACACCCATAAATGTTTTCCAAAATGAGAGGGTTCTCAATAGAAGCTATTCGTTTGTAAATAATTGATTCCGCTAATCCTAAGACAAACAAGTTTGTAAATAATTACTGGTGGTAGGACCTCTTGGGAGTCCGCACGGGTAGGTACCACCACCCTGCCTATTTCCGCCGTGAAGCAGTAATGCGTTTCGATTCGAAGGGTGGGGTAGCCGTTGTCACTATACTGAGATCTTAGAACTTATATCTCGAGGTGGGTGGCGCATTTACGTTGTAGATGTCTATGGGCTCCAGTAACCACTTAACACCAGGTGGGCTGTGAGCTCGTCCATCCACCTAAGCAATAAAAAAAAATAAAAATAAAAAACCGACACAGCGAATAACCATTTATTTTTAAACAGATAATTACCATTCTCTTCCATCCATGACGTTATCTTTAATGTACAATTAAAGAAGATCATGTTTTACTTATTATTAATATAATAACGACGTGTAATTTTTATTCCATTATTCAGCAATTGTTGTGGCAATTATTAAATACGTCAACACGTCTGCAAATTTTATTTTTTACGCCATACGTTTGACAATAACATCCGGATAAGACAGTCACGTTTTGTAATTGAGAGCTAAATAACAATCCAATTAAGGATATGACGTGAGTAAACTAGAGGCGATAGTAGACACCACATCTATATCTATACTAATATTATTATAATAAAGAGGAAAGATTTGTTTGTTTGTTTCGAATAGGCTCCGAAACTACTGGACCGATTTGAAAAATTATTTTTCCATTAGAAGCCGACATTGTCCCTGATGAACATAGGCTACTTTTTTTTAATTTTTTTTTTGTTTTTATTTTTTGGTTTCATGTGTGTTTTAATGTTTCCGAAGCGAAGCGAGGGCGGGTCGCTAGTTTAATTGAAATACGGTGTAACTATTCCAAGGTATTTTTGTATAAAATAAAATACTGATTTCTTTCACCATTAGCTAGCACTGGCAACGTAGATTGATATTATTAATAAGTTTTTCACCTTAAACACAAATTCATGCTAATTTCAAAATTCCGGAACAAATATCACAATAAATATGAAGTTCCGGTATTTTGGAGGCATATCCATATTATCCTCTACGTTTGACGTCAACGACCTTAAATCAATCAACCTACTCCGACCTCTGGTCATTATTATATAAACTAGAGGTCCCGCAGTAGTCGAAATTCGTCTATAATTAATTGGAATTGTAAGTTTGTACACTATTTGATTGTATTTATACTTCTATAATCACAAATTTCGCCAAGACTACACTATAAAAAATATTAACAAAGACAAACAATATTCTATTCTCAATTTGACAACCGACGTCAAGAACAAAAGTTTGACAATAAATAGTATGCATGCGTGTGTGCGTCAAATACATGGTATGTTGTGTGTGTAATGTTTTCTTTATTGATTTAATGTATATTTTATGCATTATTTTAAAAAAATATTAGCCTTGTGCACTTCTTCTCTATATTCTCTATAAGTGTGGAAAATTTCATACTCCTCCGTCCGCGCACTTTTCGTAAAAAGGGATACAAACTTTTTGCTTCACGTATTAATATACAGATTCTAATCGCTTAACAAGAATCATATAAGATTTGTCTTCGTCTACATACAATGGTACGAATTTGCTCAGCTCGGGCGGAATCCCTCCCGTATGCAATCGTTTTTTTGTGTTAAGTGCTGCATTTCTCAACAGCACGCCGAGAGAGGTGAGGTCGACGATCAGTGAACATTGAGAGCTTGCGCTTGGCTGACGCGAAAACGCAAAAATAGTTGTAAACAGTACGTGACATAGATACGAGTAATATTCGAAGACATTAAAAGTAAGTACCACTTATTTTGATACCGTACGTAGCGAATTTAAGTTTTTTTATATATATTTTATTTATTTCCATTATAACAGTAGAATTTCTCCTTTATTTAATATGTTTTACAATAATTCCCTATGTACTGAATACTTTAGTATTCGCGGTCATGGTTGACGGTAGTAAACAGCAAAACAATTGCAATTCGGAGCGGTTTATAAGTTCATGGATTTGTTATCAAATATACTCGTATAGAGCATAATTATTATAAGAAAATATACATATTAAATCAGTATCTATTATTCTCCAATGTATTTAAAAAATATATTATATACGTAACAGGATATTGAAGTGTAATACAGTCATAGCTGTTATTGATTAAATATAAACCACCCGCTTTTTAGAAAGTTGTTCGCATACTCTTGACTTTCTATATGATAAACGTCTCGTTAAATTCTGCCTCAACGTAAAATACATGTGTTGTTGTGTCAATAAAATATTGGCCCTTAGCAGGGGCGTCTTAAACTAGGATGGGGCCCTTGGGCACACAAGAATTTGAGGCCCTTTTGGAAAGTAAAAAAAAACGAATTATAATAATAAAAAAATACTGAGTATGACAATTTATTATAGGTAATCAAATACAGTATGATATAATATGTCATTAATGATATTAGAATGCTGCTGGTTTTTTGGTTACGATTTCGATAACGGTTTCTTTCGGGATGTCTGTTGAGCTAAATCTTCTATTATAGGCATAGTATATGCCTTGTAAATACCTTCTGATTACTGATTTGTGAAAAAAGTGTAATGTGCCCGACAAAAATGTTTTGAGAATAAGCGTGTGAGACAAATTTTCGGTCTTTCGGGGCCCCCTGAGGATGGGGGCCCTGGGCACGGGCCCCGTGTGCCCTTATGGTAAAGACGGTATTGGTCCTTAGAATCGATTATCATAGCTCGTAACTGATTTCGACAGCTAGTTCTGTTTAATTATTTTCAAACCATTGTTGGTTCGTGTGACTACTTTTAGCTGTTTGTCTATTTTAGTCTTAAAATACATAAACATAGTTCACACATCGGTTTGCGATTAACGAAATTTAATTCTAAATTCGATGGCCGTCTGTTTTGAAGTTCGTCACGATTGAGGTCGAGGTCTGGCCGTTTGTCATCTTCAAATAAATAAAAATTCGGTTGCACCAACAGTTCACACTCAGGTGGATCCTTAATGAGTTACCAATAGCGCACAAATATGTGCCAATTATCGCAATATACATACACACAGGCTTGACCAAATTTATATCGTTGTGCCCTAATTAAGACGCCCGGTATACTCATATCAAGCGAAGCGAAAAATGCCAGTGTTCGATACTCGCATAAGGTACCGTTTTTTTGAAAGCAATGCGCATTTAATACATTTTGAGTCGTCGTGACCTAAATTAAATTCGCAAAATTATAATTTGCGTAATTACTGGTGGTAAGACGTCTTGTGAGTCCGCACGGGTAGTTGCCACCGCCCTGCCTATTTCTGCCGTTAAGCAGTAATGCGTTTCGGTTTAAAGGGCGGGGCAGTCGTTGTAACAACTATTCTGAGACCTTAGAACTCATATCCCCTGACGAATTGGAGATTTCATAAAAAATTCGAAGATTTTCAATTATAAATGTCAATTTTATTTTACGCGCTAAAATGCTGACTAGAATATTGAGGATGGATGGACTCTCGGCGGGCCGGATTAAATACTTCCGCGGGTCGGAGTTGGCCCGCGGGCCGTACTTTGCCGATCACTGATCTTAGCTCTCACGGACCACCGTGCTCCGACGAGAGGGATTGTGTAACATGCGTAAAAGTCATGATCGTACTTGTGCAGGTTTAGTAAAGTGTCACCTTGTTACAAACGAACATATTGTTCCACTTGCAGACCATAGGGTAGCACCTGCCAAGGATTATCGCAGCGCTGACTTTGGCCAAAAAGTCACAAAGTTGTCCTGGATTATATAAAAGTCCAATGAACATAGCTTTGATGATTCGCTTTCATTGAGAATATTAAACTACGGAGGTGTTGAATAATACAGTCTCATGTCTCTTTAGTAAAAAGTTTCCTGAACAAATTGTTACAACAACAACAAATTTTTTAACACTGGCACTGATCATAGTACCAACTCCTATTGGAGACAGAAATCTCGCAAATTTTTATTTTTGCGATTTTTTACCAAACATCAGTGTTTTTTTTTAATGCTTAGATAGGTGGACGAGCTCACAGCCCACCTGGTCTTAAGTGGTTAATGGAGCTCATAAACATCTATAACTTAAATGCGCCACCCACCATGAGAGTTCTAAGGTCTCAGTATAGTTACAAAGGCTGCTCCACTCTTCAAACCGAAACGCATTACTGCTTCACGGCAGAAATAGGCGGGGCGGTGGTACCTACCCGTGCGGACTCTCAAGAGGTCCTACCAACAGTAATTACGCAAATTATAATTTTGCGGGTTTGATTTTTATTACACGATGTTATTCCTTCACCGTGGAAGTCAATCGTGAAAATTTGTTAAGAAGGTATTTCACTAGAAAAATTGGTACCCGCCTGCGGGATTCGAACACCGTTGCCTCGATAGATACGAATGCACCGGACGTCTTATCCTTTAAGCCACGACGACTTCGACAAGTTAAATTTACTCTCAAAAATACAATACAAAAATGCTTCTTAGAAACCTGTTGTTACCTTAAGCCTGTTCTTTTTTTTTTTTTTTTTTTTTTTATGATTGAAAGTTTACTGGTGGCCCCAAGGCCTTTCCAGTTTCACCAGGACAGGTGGGCGAGCAAAGGCTCAGCCAAGAGGGGTGGGATTTGCTAACAACTGCCCGAGCGCCTCCGAAGGAGACCTAACAACTCAAGAGCAATTGTTTCGCGAATGAATCTACTACCGGATCGGAATCGCGACCCGCNTGTTACCTTAAGCCTGTTCTCAGTAACAGGTTGAGTAACATTTATGCAAGGGCGGATCCAGCTTTGGCGCCAGGAGGGGGTCACATAGTCAAATTTTCGATGCGCTCGTTCCCAAACGCTTGCCATCATACAAAGTTATTATATTATATTAAATTAATTAAATATTGAAGGTATGTAGTTACATAAAATCTGTATAGTGACAAAATATATAAATAAAATCATTATGTTCAATTAGTGGTTCACCTAAGTCCCGGAACCAGCTCAGGGGGGGGGTCATGACCCCATGACCCCCCCCCTGGACCCGCCGTTGCATTTATGTATATTTAGATTTAAAAAAAAGTTACTACAAAATATCAGTTAGACAGTAAGCTCTCTACCTGTCAATATCAAAAAAAAACAAAAGAGAATTCCTCATTCGATAATTCACTTCACTTAGAGACACCTTCATTATTCACTTAGGAAATTAACAACTATTTCCCTTGCATCAACCCACGTCAGACTGAAATTATTATACCGAACGCCCTACGCTATCTACAATAATATTTAATATCAGTCTACGAAAAACAAACAAAGATAAAAACACATGCTCTATAACAGCGTGTGCACAAATTAACTAGTTCTTCATAACGCATTCCCAGGCCACTGACCTATCATAGGGCTCGACAAATGTCAAGGTTTTCATATATCGACTATTTTGTCCAGTTAAAACGCATACACGGAAAGTTGAAAGCTTACCTATAAAAGAGAAGAAAAGAAAATATCTCACAAGAAAATTATAGGTCTTTTTTGCTGATTTAAAATCACACACAGGATTGGATAGGATACGAGATTTTGCTGATGATACGGTATCCTGCCAGTTTTTGTTGTCTGAATGAATCTTGTCTATTTATGTCGTATTTATTTTGGTTTCAAGCAAACTAGAAACTCGTTTGGCCATCATCGATAATAATGGAAAAAATATGTGACTCATAAAGTGGAAATCTACCGATAGTTTCATAAAGATTTTCTATTTGCATGTTTTCTTATTTTCAACTCTTTTCATCTGCCATACTTATTGTTTTATTTATTTATTCTATCGGTATGTTATTGTCGTTCAAGCTGCATCAATAATTTTCGCTTTAGTTTCCGCAATAATTTTAAATCTAAACAACATTTACGCATTGGCCACAGTAACGAAAATAACATAAATATGTAAAACCAAATTCATAAATTAATTTCGTAGAGTGAACAATAAGCTTTTGTTAAAACAGTGACCAATTTAAGATCCGGGAGCGATAGGGCAAGTTTTATTGAGACAATTAAAATATTTAATTAAGTTACGTAACTTTCGAAATTATAATTTTTTATTGAGAGCATGCGAAAGTGATACAAAGCTTCATATAACATATACGATTTCAGATTACGGGTATAATCCGGTACTTTCGTTCGTTTATTAAAATTATTCAACGCTAATGCGTTAAATTTGTAATCCAGAAATAATGAAGCAGGTAACATTCTCCGGGGTCAAGCCGTTACTTGTCATCGTCTGGTCCATAAGCTGACGGTTTTTTTCTTTTTACTACCTATTCCGGAGTTATGCCAGCGGTACCGGGCGAGTTACTAGGTGAGCTCACGGGGCTCTATCCTGAGGACGTTGGCAACACTAGCCTTAGCAAGAGCAGTGCTTCGCAGAATTTACCACCGGATCGGAAACGTGACCCACTGAGAAAATCCGGCGAGAAACTCAGTGGGCTGTGTCTATGGGCTAATTCGCTCGTCGAGCCCTTCGTCGCAAGCGACGGGTTCGACGAGGACGGTGACCGGGATGGTTCAGAATCGAGAGCACCTGGGAATATTACATCTCTGGTTTCTCTGTGGTTCTCTCAAGCCACAACAGAGTATCATAAAACTTAGACGCTTAGAACGTTTTATTACGACATCAATGATCATTAAAAGTAAGTACCCACATCAAAAGAAATAGGATGTGATTACAACATTAAAATGTAATAACGAAATCACAGCTTACAAAGACAAAAACCACGAGACGTGCATCTGAAGTGATTACACAAAAAATTTGATTTTTTCTTTCCGTTGACCTTGACGGTAACCATATACCACTCGAGAAATCGAAAACAAGGCTCTTGAAGCTCTTGAGACAAGGTTTCGGTTGCTTCATTGTCTTAATGGCGTTTCGTCAAGTTTATTAATGTGTTTTTTTTTATTTGCAATGTCGCTATTTCTTCAACATAAATATAGACTGTTCAATTTTATTGACGATAAATAAAATTATAATATCAAAATTATTGTTTGTGTCGAATATGTTGTATGATCGTTGTTATGGTTGAAAAAACCAATGTCGTGTAATAAAAATCGAACCCGCAAAATTATAATTTGCGTAATTACTGGTGGTGGTAGGACCTCTTGTAAGTCCGCGCGGGTCGGTACTACCACCCTGCCTATTTCTGGCGTGAAGCAGTAATGCGTATCGGTTTGAAAGGTGGGGCAGCCGTTGTAACTATTATTGAGACCTTATTATATCTCCTTAACTTATATCTCAAGGTGGGTGGCGCATTTACGTTGTAGAAGTCTATGGGCTCCAGTAACCACTACACACCAGGTGGGCTGTGAGCTCGCCCACCCACCTAAGCAATAAAAAAAAAAAAAATCGCCTAAATAAAAATAGTCTTTCACCCCTCGATATATAATTAAGGCTGAGATCTCATTTCTCCCCACAGACACAGCTCATTGAGTTTCACGCCGAATCTTCTCAGTGGGTCGCGGTTCCGATCCGGGGGTAGATACGGCAAAGTACTGCCCTTGCTAGGGCTAGTGTTAGCAAAGTCGGCTGACACCGGTGAGCTCACCTACATGTCCGGTGAAGCTAACCCTTCGAGATTACTAATGTAGGTAGGCGAGGGAAACTCATTTCTCACTCGATATTCTTTTTTTTTATTGCTTAGCTGGGTGGACGAGCTCACAGCCCACCTGGTGTTAACTGGTTACTGGAGCCCATAGGCATCTACAATGTAAATGCGCCACCCACCTTGAGATATAAGTTCTAAGGTCTCAGTATAGTTACAACGGCTGCCCCGCCCTTCAAACCGAAACGCATTACTGCTTCACGGCAGAAAATAGGCGGGGTGGTGGTACCTACCCGTGCGGACTCACAAGAGGTCCTAACTCTAGTGATTACACAAATTATAATTTTGCGGGTTTCCTTTTTGTTACACGATGTTATTCCTTCACCGTGGAAATCTATCGTGAACATTTGTTGAGTACGTATTTCATTAGAAAAATTGGTACCCGCCTGCGGGATTCGAACACCGGTGCATCGCTACATACGAATGCACCGGGCGTCTTATATTTTAGGCCACGACGACATTTGATTCGAACACCGATTTCATGTTGAAAACCCAGAACTTCGCACCGCTAAAGTCTTGACCTTGAGATGAGAAGTCAATGCCTTCAATGTCGTGCCGCCCTATCCTTTAATCTGAAACGCATCAATGCTTCGAAGAAGAAATGTAAGCTTGTCATAACTCGCTGGTAACGTGTGTTTTATTATATTTATTGTATTCAATTGCAATGAACGGTCATGTTTTTTTTTTTTTTTGTAAACATGTTAGTTGTTTTTGGTTAAGTGTAAAAATATGTAAGTAATTATTTACTGAACATTTAAATTAAAAGTTAATGATTATACCTATTTTGTTTTTTTGTTTTTTACTGCTAAGATGGATAGACGAGCTCACGGCCTATCTAGTGTTAAGTGGTCACCCAAGCCCATAGATATCAACAATGTAAATTCCGCCACCCACCTTGAGACATAGGTACTAAGTTTCAGTTTTTATAGTACAACGGCTATCCCTCAAGCGACAAGCATCACTGCTTTACGCAAAAATAGGCAGGGCGTTGGTATCTACCCGAGCGAGCTCACAAGGCATGCACCTCAATTTTTTTTTTTCATTCCTTGTTTATTGTTCATTGATTCTTGATGATTGATACTTTGATTCGATTTTATTTACGAGTAAAAAAACGGTAGCCTGCTTTAAAGTTTATTTTAACCCCAAATGACGTCACGTATAATGAAATAGCATTTAGCCAACAATATTTGTGAAATTTACGCCGTAGTCTGGTTTCTGATTCCAGTATTGAATTGCTATGAACCGTTTGTAACTTCTCAATGACATTTGTCAATAGTAAATTCTTTATTAAAAGTTCAAGATCAATAAATTAGAATCGCTTTTTTTTTGGAATACTGCAAGATTTTCCGTGTTTTGATATTTCAGATATATAATTCATATATACGAAAATGAAATATATAGACATTATATATTTATACATATATTCATTTATTTAGTGAAGGTCGTGGACGTTCTCTTTCTACGATAAAATATAAGTTTGACGAATAAAAACTTTACCTTATTGAAAATAGAAATTCAAATGGCATACATACGATACAAAAATAAATGGATCCAGTTAAGTAACAAAAATCCTGACTGCGAGCGAGAATTGAACCCGGATCCATTAGAACCTACTGTTATCAAGCTCATTCAGCACTAGACCAAAGGGGCCCAATTATTGGTGTTGAATTTATTGAGACATGCTATTTATTCCCGCGCACTATGACGTGTCCTTGTTCAAACGAGGCTTGTGGAGAGAATCTAACGGTACGCAGCGGCTTGGCTATGCCCTAGCATTGCTGAAGTCTATGGGCGACGGTAACTACTCACCATCAGGTAGACCGTATGCTCGTCTGCCTATAAGGGTATTAAAAAAAATTGGATTAGGTAATTAATTTGATACCGAACACACCGGACGTCTTATCCTTTAAGCCATGATCACTCGAACAAAGATTAATATAATAAATAATAAGCAATTTATTAAATACTGACCATGAAATAAAAATAAGACTTAATGAAGTCGCCGCGATAAACAAGAAAAAAATTGTTTTTATATTACCTTCTTGTTACGATGTTAAAATTAAATAAATGCTAATTAAATTTTAAGTTGCGTAAATGAGTGGAATAACTGACAGACCGTGCAATTACTTTAAGTAATCACTAAAAATAAATACCTTAAAATAACGTTTTTGTATAATATTATTATTTTTTTGTTTCTTAAATGAATTATTCATAAATTCAATGGTTTGTAAAAAATTATAGCTTTATAAACTTTTATTATGTACCTACCCTAAAAAAAATTACCTTAATTAAACTGAACATCAACTTATATCCTTAAGTACATGCAATTTTATTTTAATAACACAAGACGAGCAAAAACAAATGCTCATATTCATTTAACACAGATTAGTGGCATCCAAGTGTGTTTTTTTTACTTTCTGTTAAATTAACTTCTTCTGTTACATTTTTGCTTTTAAATTCCACTATTACCAATTTCAATTTCAAATGTAAATCAAGACTAATTAATACATTATATACTAGCTGGCCCGGCAGACTTCGTAATGCCTCAATCGATAAATAAAAGACCTAAACTTTTGTATAAAATAAACATAAAACAAACAAAAGGAATCCGTCCGACGGGGGACACATCAGAGGGAAAACAAAATTGTTATTTCTATTTTATTCCGAGCATTTTCATATTTATCTAACTTTTAAACCTTCTCTGGACTTCCACAAATAATTCAAAACCAAAATTAGCCAAATCGGTCCAACCGTTCTCGAGTTTTAGCGAGACTAACGAACAGCAATTCATTTTTATATATATAGATTATCTTATAATAATATATTAATTAGTAACTTGCATTTTCTTATTAATTTTCAGTTTGAAATGAAGATCAAACAAGAACTTTTAGAGCAGCCCACGGGTGAACTCTGGCAAGCCATACGAGTGGAGTTGAAGGAGGATGCTAAAACCAAGGATCAGGACTTGGCTGCTATTAGAGAATGGTTGAAGAAACAGCCACATCTGCCTGATGATTGGGGTTAGTACAAGATAAAAACTATATTGTGGGACTGAACGTTTCGAAGAAATTTGAAGTCGTCGTGGCCTAAAGGATAAGACGTCCGGTGGATTCGTATGTAGCGATGCACCGGTGTTCAAATCCCAGACGGGGACCAATTTTTATAATGAAATACGTACCTTACAAACGTTCATGACTGACTTCCACGGTGAAGGAATAACATCGTGTAATAAAAATCAAACCCGCAAAATTATAATTTGCGTAATTACTGGTGGTAGGACCTCTTGCGAGTCCGCGCGGGTAGGTACCACCACCCTGCCTATTTCTACGCTGAAGCAGTAACGCGTTTCGGTTTGAAGGATGGGGTAGCCGTTGTAACTATACTTCTGTTACGGGACGGAACAATTTCTATGGGCTCCAGTAACCACTTAACACCAGGTGGGCTGTGAGCTTTTCCATCCATCTAAACTTAATCAGAAGAGCTCTGAGCCACGAGGGCGAATAAAACCATCTAATTAATTGAAATCGGTGAATGTAGACCAAAATCTCCATAAACAACGAATTGTATAACATATATATGAACAATCCAGAACCTTTTTTTTATTGCTTAGATTGGTGGACGAGCTCACAGCTCAAAGGAGTAGGACCTACCTTGACCTATCTCAAATGAATCTTAGCAACATCACCACGCAGTTAAAGCTGAACCTAGTGGCTTATTAAATTTTAATACACCTAAACCATTTATCAATTTGCTTTTCATGTTACCAATATTCTTTCAAATACAACTTAATGACATAAAAACAACATTAACGATTGTAGGTAGTAGTAGATATAGATAGATATCCGTGATTGCTCAATCAATTAGCTAGTATTATTTCATGTTCCTTGTATTCTACTTCATTTATAAAATATAGGTTTTTTACTTCAAATTCAATTTTATTAACTTCAAATTTAATTTTGTAAAGATCATATAAAATTTTGTAAACATCCAAATTAAATTTCTTTTCCAAGTTTATTTTTTTATTATAATCCATTCAAAATTATTATAACAAAACTAAAAAAAACAAATTTGGAAAACGCAATAAATACATTTCAATTAAATGTCTTCCTCCTCCTTGCGTCGTATTCCTCATTGCTGAGGGTCGTGACCACCCTTTTGTATCACCTTCGCACGCACGATCTTTCTCCATCCATTCTTGTCTCTAGCGATGTGGAAGGCGTTGTGAAACGTGGAATCAAGAGCGGTGCGGATCTGGTCGGACCAACGTATTGGGCTGCGCCCCCGAGGTCTTTTCCCATCTACCTTACCAGTCACAATGAGCCTCTCGAGATTGCTATCATCCTTCTGTGTCTTCAAGTGTGTAAATGTCTTCAAGTCATCCAAAAAACCCTTGTTTCCATCTGTTCCATTATGTTTCCAGAAACGGGGCCGCTGATGACATTCCTACGCGGCAGCAGCTTTTCCTTGGAGAAGTGTAAACGGAAGCTGGACATGTATTTCACTATGAGGGCAGCGTGCCCAGAATTTTTCACCAAACGTGACGCAACCAGGCCGGAATTGACGGAGATCTTAACCAATAAAATGTTAGTTTTGTTTTCGTTTTCTTCTAATGCACTAGACAGGGTAAGGCGGTCCACCTGATGCTAAGCATCTTCCGGAAACCAATGAAATCACAAAGTGAAAGCGGCTCCCTTGCGACATGAGGTCAAAGCCTCAATTGAATAACGTGCCTTCATGACAAACGAAAGACCGTTTGGTATTAAAGTTAGAGTGATGAGCGACATTTGCGGTAAGATGTAGATTAGTTCTGGTAAACCACTCAACACTAGGTAAATAAAAACTAATTTATAGCCGCGCCAATAAAGAAACGAATCGAAAATGGCGTCTATGTACCTGCACTGACAGATGGTAGGGTCAACAAATAAAAAGAAAGATAGAAAGAAAAAAATGTGTATTGTAAAAAAATATAAAAAAAACAAATGAGAATGTACCTTACTTTACTTTATGCCCCGGCAGAAGGGATGTATCTCATCTGGGATGCAACTTGCGTAGACACTTTTGCTGCCAGTCATCTAAGTGCTAGTAAACAGCTCGAAAGTGAAAAAAACTCGAACTCAACAACAAAGTCAGAACTGATATTGTTTTTCATGCAGTACGCGCCGTGTGCGACTAAAGACAGCAATAGTTTAGAGTGAGAGCGCATGATCGCTGGCGCCGCCATTTTAGATTCGTTTCCTTATTGGCGCGGACTTATATACACGAATACAGCGATTTTCTAATGCATAAATTTTATAAAATATAGACTTGACTCTTCTCATTTACAGAGAAGGACCACCGCTACCTGGAATCACGCCTAATGGCAGAAGGGTCACAGTGTGCAGAGGTAATCTTCAATAAGTTTCAATATTTGTATGTATCTATACTATAATATTATAAAGCGGAAGAGTTTGTTTGTTTGAACGCGCTAATCTCAGAAACTACTGGTCCGATTTTAAAAATTCTTTCAGTGTTAAATAGTCCCATTTATTGAGGAAGGCTATAGGCCATAGGCTATAACATCACGGTAAGACCAATACAAGTGGAGCACCAATAAAGAATGTTTCAAAATAAGGGTGTAAATAACTCCTTAACATTCTACAATTCAAAAATATTTTTACTTTCTACGTAAATAAAGTGGGGAGTAAAATTTAGCATTATGCCAAAGTAACTACAATTCCACGCGAACGGAGTTGCGCGCAAAAGCTAGTATATTATATTTCAATGAAGTCGTGCATACTCCCAGCCTGTCTCGAGCCATTTCTACATCACCTGGGTTTCGCTGTTTATTAAGCTTTTAAGATTTTATAATCGGGTCAACTGCAACATTTCCCGCTTACCACCAGTGCGTAGGCAGAAGTCTGGCGATTTCACCTTGATCCAAGAAAATGTTATACAGACTTACTAGTTTTTCTAGTATATACAATGATCTTAAAACATATAACGTGAGTAACGAACGTAAATTCCAGGGGCACCAAAAAAAATTCTCATGAGATAATTAGATTACAATGAAATAATTAATTACATATTATGTAAAACTGAATGACTCGTAGTAAGCTTAGTCGTGTATCTCTTAAAATAACAATTTAATGAAGTTGAAAAGTTAATCATCAAAAATGAGTCTGGTATAGCATAATTTACTCTTTTTTTTTTTCTTATAACTTTTTTGTATACTCTGTGGAAAACAAAATTACTAATTTTCTGGTAATAAGATTGCTTTCCTTTAAGAACTTCTTCTACTTATTTTAAGTAATTTTCTCTTTGGAAATTATAAGGTAACAAATAAAACAAAAATTTTTCACATTTAATAATTTCCCTGAACTTCTGACTTTTGTTATTGGATGTGTTTTCGTACTCGACGCTCGTGCTCGACGAGTAAATTAACCCACAGACACAGCCCACTGAGTTTCTCGCCGGATCTTCTCAGTGGGTCGCGTTTCCGATCCGGTGGTAGATTCTACGAAGCACGGCTCTTGCTACGGTTCGTGTTAGCAACATCGTCAGGTTTGAGCCCCGTGAGCTCACCTACTAGTTAAGGTTACGCTGAAATAGCCTCCCAAGGCTATCAGCTTAGGTAGGACTAAAAAAAAAAAACTGTTCGGACCGTCGGTCTACCGAGCAATATCACCCGTTCGGAGGAAGATCTTCCCTTTGTCGTATACCCCTAAACTGGTGCTAAACTCCACGTCTCCAGGTGGGTGACGGAATTCACGATTGATATCTATGAGCTGTGCAATCACTTAACATCAGGTGGACCTTCAGCTCATTCGCTCGATTATATAATAAAAAATGACTTCTAATTCGAGTGTCAAAGCAAGAATTTATTCGTAATGTCAAAGTCTTATACAATAGTGTCGTGGTGTCTATTCTAGTGACTTCTTCACATTAGTAGCGTTGTGAACTCGGAAAATGTTAAAAATCTCTGAATATCTTTTACAGGTATCGACCAAAACTTGGATGCCCAACAAATCATCGATACACTCAAACTAGCTCTTATGATTGGTGATGTAAGGCTGACGGAGGAAAAGGAAGGAGTCGCAGGAGACATCTATGTGCTGGACGCAGCTGTTCTTGGGCCCAGCATACTGGCAAAACTCTCTGCTGCTACCATCAAGAAATTTATGATCTGTGTTCAGGTCTGCTATTTTTTGCGTAATAGGTTGGGGAAAAAGTTTCTTCGCATTTTTTAAGAAAATTCACAACATTTTTTTAATATATAGTTTATTTACATTTAACTAAAGTATGCTGACTAAAGTAGCTATATCTTGCTAAACTTTTTCAAAAATGGCATCCATTTTATCCGTAATAGGGCGATCAGAGCTACGTGCATCTTTGAAATCGAAATTTCCGGATTGAAAACGCTTAAACCAAAATTAGACACTGCACTAGGCCCATAAACATCACAAATTTTTTTCGCGGCTTGCGTTGCATTTTTTGTAGTAGTTAAAATTTTTAAATGTATCGAATTTCTTCATTAGTTTCACTCATCTTGACAGTACAAAAACTATGTAAAAATCACAAATTTTCCTAAGTTGAATTTGGAATTATCTTCTTTAAAATTTAAATTTTTAATGCTACCAAAACCAGCCAGATACAAATAGTATAGCTAAAGAGATTTTATTACAAGTTCATACATAGTATAATGCGAAAAGACTTTTTCCCCAACCTATTATATTATTAGGCTTCAGTGACCACGAAAACTGTAAGCACAGTCGAATATTTTAGAGTTAGAGTGAAAGTATTAGTGAAATTAAGTTTTTCTTATTTCAATCATGGCTTCCTAATGTCATAATTTTTTTTTTTCTTTTTCTTAGATGGGTGGACAAGCTCACGGCCTACCTGGTGTTAAGTGGTTACCGGAGCCCACAGACATCTACAACGTCAATGCCGCCACCCAACTTGAGCTATGAGTTCTAAGTCTCAGTTTTTACAGTACAATACCATATTAGGACGCAATGTACCTCAAACATAAAAATGATTTTTTTATACGTGTTTCGTTTGTTTGTGATCTATGCGCTCTTTTTTGTCCGATTGACTTAGTAGTTTTATTGTTACTGGTATTGTTTAATGTTTATTTTATCACAATACTTTCAAGGTACCACAATCGTAAGTCTCTTTTGGTTCTAAGTACCTCACATTTTTAACAGATATTTCGAAACCTTTGATTTCAAATGAAGTTTATAGTGGGGTATAAAGAAATAAAACAAAAACTTATTGGTAACAAACTAAAAATTATCTTAAACGCATATTTTCAATTTCTCGACTTAGCGCAGTTTTCATCGCAAAATACTTTAGATAAAATGACAACAATACATAGAATCGAATGACCTGACGCGTTATTTGCCGCGCTAGTGTGTCTGATATAGAGAATTAATACTATATACACAGTCAGATCGACATTCAGTCGTAGAACTCATATCGCAAGTAGATAATCGGTATCCAATTAGACATCGGTATTCTATTTTTATTCTATTCTATTTCGGCCCAGTTAAGTCGACAATCAATTGTAGAACTCATATCGCAAGCCGATAATCGTTAACTAAAAAGACATCGGTATTCTCAAGTTCAAGACCAATAAAAAGGCTAATAAGAGGAAATTTTAATGGTACTTTAAAATATAAGTAGCCAGTGATACTGATTATTTTATTTTGTTTTTAGGAAGCCTACCCGATCAAATTGAAAGAGGTCCACATCATAAACACATCACCGCTTGTAGAACGTTTCGTCAATTTCGTTAAGCCATTCCTTAAGGAAAAAATAAGGAAAAGGGTGGGTGTATTTCTGTTTATTTTGATCATTACATTTTGTGTCACGAATCTTTTAGTTCGCGATTTTTTTTTAATCTGTCATTTACGACAAGGCTTACGGCTAAACATATTCTAAATATTTTTTGTAACAGCCAATCATCAATACAATTGAGTGTGATTAATACCGCATAAGCTTCGAACGTTACTCTTACCTAGAATAAAAATAAAGACGAAGCTAAATTAGCTAGCTGGCTAACAAATTTAAACTTTATTGTATCAGTCAGGTTCAACTGAATTCCGAAGCAAACGAAATAATCCCCATAGACATTTATTCAACTAGACCAAGCATTGTCATCTGTGTACAGTACCCGGCGACTAATATTGGACATCGATCTTTCGAAAGATACAGTCGACTAATTTCAACTTCGTAAACATATATCCATCTCACTCTACTTGACAGTTGTTGCTAAAAAGCGCTGGTGTAAGTTCTTAATGGATACTGTTCTGTAAATGCCTTGTGTGACAGAGATAACGCTATACGAAGCCGACATTAGCCGATTTCCTCTTTCCAAAGATCGATGTGCAATATTTGACGCTTGGTATTGTAATTCGAAAGTACAAGTAATTTGTTCGTATGACCAGTAAAAACTGACATATTGCAATTCTTAACTAAAATCCCCGTGGCTTATTCACAGATTTTCATACACAAAGAAATCAAAGATTTATATAAGTACGTACCCCAGGAGATGTTACCTGAAGAGTACGGCGGCCAATGCAGTACGATGACCCTATTGCAAGGTCTGTATCGTTCGTGTCTCCATTATTCAGGTTTTCTACTAAAACTAACTTAAATTTCTGCTTAATCTAAATCTGCCCACTTCGATAAAGCGGCACGACACGAGAACCCTCTCATCGTGGCCGTCGGTAACTACATTCCCGATCCTGCAGACAGAATGGAAAGCAGTCGATGTCGCCCCAAACACGTCATTTCGGATCCTCCCGACCCACTAACGGTGCTTTTAGGTACGCCAAGCACCGGTNTTCTACTAAAACTAACTTAAATTTCTGCTTAATCTAAATCTGCCCACTTCGATAAAGCGGCACGACACGAGAACCCTCTCATCGTGGCCGTCGGTAACTACATTCCCGATCCTGCAGACAGAATGGAAAGCAGTCGATGTCGCCCCAAACACGTCATTTCGGATCCTCCCGACCCACTAACGGTGCTTTTAGGTACGCCAAGCACCGGTCATCGTTCTCGTCGAACCCGTCGCTTGCGACAAAGGGCTCAACGAGTAAACTAACCCACAGACACAGCCCACTGAGTTTCTCGCCGGATCTTCTCAGTGGGTTGCGTTTCCGATCCGGTGGTAGATTCTGCGAAGCACTGCTCTTGCTAGGGTTCGTGTTAGCAACGTCGTCAGGTTTGAGCCCCGTGAGCTCACCTATACTAGTTAAGGTTACGCTGAAATAACTTCTCAAGGCTATCTAGGAAAAAAACAAAATTAAATCTGCTAAATCTGCTAATTTCGTTAATTATCCACATAGCCATTTTCCTGTATAAAATGAAATTGCCGAATATATTTCATAAGGTATCGAAAATATTTTAAGACATTTTTTTTTAATCTAACAATTTTCCGCAGAGCAATGGAAGTTGAAACTGCAAGAATACAGGGAGTGGTTTAAGCAACAGGACTCCATAATTGCCAACGAGTCCTTGCGACCTGGACGCCCTACTAACTACGACGAACTCTTCGGAATCGACGGCTCATTCAGGCAATTAGCCATCGACTGATATTAGGTTATAATACATACGTTTTTAACATCAATTCTTATATTACCACTACCATTGTGCAGCTTTAAAGCTGTTGTAACAAACTTTTCTATAATAACACTTGTTTGATCAAACGAACTCAAATTTATAGTCATTTTGAACAAAAAATTGCTATGCTCTCTGGTTCAAATAAATATGTATAATTTTTTACTCATTGGCAATGTCCGAGAATGAAAAACAGTTAATCTAAATACCGTCTTGAAAAGATTTTGATTTTTATATAGTTTATTTATAATATCGTAAAATGCTCTCATGAAATGATTTTAGGTTAAATAAATATTAATTTATATAGTATTCTTTTATGTTATATCTTAAGCGATTGCTCAATTTAAGATGGCTCGTGTATAAAACATATTTCAAAACCATTTTAGATAATTATGAATTAAAGCTTACATAAATAGTTCGTCTAAATTTATTTACGTGAATAAATACATAAATAAAGTTTAAACTTAGGTTTAAAATAAAGAACTGGCAATTGTAATTGAGTATTTTATTGACATAGATGAATAATTGAGTTCAACGGCCACAGTCGCTACGTAGATATTGAAGTAAGTAGAAAATATATGATCACAGCGCATTTTGAACTTTGACTTACTTGAATATTAATTTTAATCAAAAAATCTTAGTACGAAATAAAAAGAGTAGTAAATTAATATTTCTTATTTATTTTAATTTTATACATATTAACCTATATCTAAACGGGCAAGGAACACACCATGATTTAGACATTTAATTAGGATAGTTTGGGTAATCCTTCCAATCACTAATGTCAATGACCCTATGATTCTTGTTAAATTGGTTAATGGCCGCTACCTCTTCAAACGTCAATTGGAAATCGAATAGATCGATGTTCTGAGCGATCCTTTGCTTGTTTGTGGATTTCGGAATCGGGATTAGACCTCTGTCGATCTGAAACATCCGAAAAGTAAATTCAATAATTGTTTTCCAATTAAATGGTAATCGGAAAACAGTTATTTAATTGATTTGGAATTAATAGACTATTCATTTAATGAGCAGCTTCCCGGCAGACTTCTCTATATATTTTTTGTAATTAAAACTATTTTCACGGTATTTTTACAGTTTCATCTAGTGTTTTTTATTGTCATTTAATCATTTTCGACGATTCAAACACTCACAACTAAGTAACGATACAATGACAATAAAAAACACGAGATTCGCCCGTAGCTATTACTTAAACTAAGCTTATACTATAGACCGAAGAAAATACTATATATAAATACAGAGTAAATAGATTTTATTTAATCACATCCTTATAATTCATTTGTGATCACATTCTTCGCTAGGTTAGCAACTTCGTCATGTAGATCTAGGCAGCCTATTATACTACCTACAATAATATAATTGGAAGCAATTATATTATTGTATATATATTATTATATTGTATATATATTATTTTATACTGGTGGTAGGACCTCATGTGAGTCCGCACGGGTAGGTACCACCATCCCGCCTATTTCTGCCGTGAAGCAGTAATGCATTTCGGTTTGAAGGTTTGGCAGCCGTTGTAACCATACTGAGACTTCAGAACTTATATCTCAAAGTGTGTGGCACATTTACGTTGTAGATGTCTATGGGCTCCAGTAACCACTTAACACCAGGCGGTCTGTAAGTTTTTCCACGCATCTAAGCAAAAAAAAAGGTTAAGAAATCATACCAAATATCTGAGTAGAATCTGTCCAACGCTCTTCCTGTATTTGTTGGCGAGTGCTGTTAGAGTGGGATCATCGGAGCGCGGGGGCGGAGCGCCGGTCTGACCACGCGACACCACGAACCCGAACGGACTGTACGCCATCACAGCGATACCGAGACTCTGGCAGTGTGCCACTAGCGGCTCTTGTGTGTTTGTAGGATTCACCTGCAAATAATACCGAATGTTAGGCAATCTAAAAGCTAAGAAAGATTTACTAGGGATTGATTGCAATGCAAAGCGGGGTTAATGACATGAGAGCGATTGCTAGCTACCTTCATTTTTGATATTGAAAACTGAGACAGATTTCGAAAAATATTTTGAAAGCTGAGGGGACAGCCGTTATACTTATAATTAGACTTATAATTTATGCACGAAGGATCGTAAAATTCACAAATTAGTAACGTCTATGGGCTCTAGTACCCTTTTAAGACCAGGCCCACCATGAGCTCGTTGACTCGTCAACGCAATAACAAAAAATCACGAATAGACATAATTAAATTTATAGGCATATGCCGATTTTCTTTAAGACTTATCCTTGTACTCTCATTTCAAATAACCACGACTTCACCACAAATTTTAACTAATTAGACAAAATTTTATTTAGTTTGAGACTACCCCTTTTTCGACGACGGCGAATCTTTGTCTTATCTGCTTGTGAGGTTTTTTTACAAGTTGAACGAACAGATCGAAAAGATAATACAATTTGTAAGGTGAAGTCGTGCTTACTTCTGGTACTGTGTTATGTACTTATGTCAATAGAACATGTGGGGATTAGGACGAAGGGAAGATCTTCCACCGAGCGGACGAAATTGCTCGGTAGACCGACGGGGCAAATGTTGTTGTTCGGTATGCTAGCTTATCTTGAGAATATCGTAAGCGAGATTTAGACATCTGTCAAATATCTTGTGTTATATGATGGCTACCCTCCACAAACATTTATAAAATCATGCTATCTTACCTCAATCTGGTTAATAACAGGCCTGATGTAACTGTTGCTGACCAATCTCGTGATCTGCGTAGCGTTGAAGTTGGATACTCCAATGGACCTGGCCAGACCCAGCTGCCGCGCGTCCTGCATGCCTTGCCAGGTTTCCAGATAGTCGATGTTATCAGGAGAATCGTCAGGCTGAAATTTGCATACAAAAATTCATATCCTGGTACGTTTGTTAGCATCACACGTTATGACGTGAACACGCAATTGTATTAATGTGGTACCAACGAAATGTAAATATTTAGGGATATTTTAACTGTACCTATCTGTTTCTGTCAATTAAAACGTATTACACACTGAAAATAATACAAACTCACGGAATTTCTCGCAAGGTTGCGATTCCGATCCGGTGGTAGATTTTCTGAATCACTGCTCTTTCTAGGGTCAGCATTAGTAACTCTCTCAGATGGAGCCCACGAGCTCACCTACTAGTTAGCGTATGGCTCGAATAGCCTTTAGGAAACCAGCGAAGAGGTCGAAAAAAATACAGATTAAATTGCCTCACCTTTGTAGCTATGGGGAAATGAATGAGGTATAGATCAATGTAGTCCAATCCAAGTTTCTTGAGTGACTCTTGGAGAGCAGGTACAACCTTGTCGCGAGCGTGTTTGTCGTTCCACAACTGAAAGAAAGATAAATCTTTAAAATGTTTTCATTCACAGAATAGACATTTTAAATTAGCTATATAAGTTTGGAATTGGAAAACAACTTTTATTTTTATTTTCAACAATAAACATTAACACTTGAATCACAATTACTTGGCGCTATTCAGGGGCTGAGTTCAGGGCGATTATATCTAGCATCGACAACAATCCTGATCCATTAACGGTGCTTTTTACCTCAAGCGCCGGTTACCGTCCTCGTCGAACCCGTCGCTTGCAACGAAGGGCTCGGCGAGTAAATTAACCCAAAGACATAGACCACTGAGTTTCTCGCCGAATCTTCTCAGTGGGTCGCGTTTCCGATCCGGTAGTAGATTCTGCGAAGCACTGCTCTTGCTAGGGCCAGTGCTAGCAACGCTCCCGGTTTGAGCCCCGAGTGCTCATCTACAGGCTAGGGTAACGCTGATATAGCTTTTCAAAGCTATCGGCATAGGTAGGAAAAAACAAGACAACAATTTAACTCAATTTTACGACTGCGACAAATCCTATGGAATGTTATTCAATCTGTATAGCTGTAGCCTCGTTGATTTCGGATCATCGGCATCTATTTTTCACATGTGTATAGCTTATTCCTGCTAATAGAAGATGGTCTAATATAGAAGCCAGCCGCAGAAGGATTGATTCGTTTCAAACAAAGTTAAAATAGATATTTATTTACTAATAACCTTATAATACTACTGCTACTGCTACTACTACTGAGCTGGCGCTATGACCCCGAAGTGGGTCTTGGCCTCCGACAATAAACATCGCCATTCGTCCCGGCGCTGCACAACACCTTGCCAGTCCGACGTAAATTTCCAGCTCACGTAAATTTCCTTCCACACCGTCAGACCAGCGGTACTTAGGCCTCCCTACGGGGCGGCGTCCCTCCGGTACATCTGCGTACACCCGTTTCACAGCCCGATCCTGCACCATACGCACTACATGCCCGAGCCATCCGGGCCTCCGTGCCTTCATCTCCCCCAGAATATTTGGCTCACCAAAAAGCCTTATAATAACCAGTTTAAAAAGAACCTTACTTTAGTAGTAACAAACAGCTCTTCTCTAGTGACCAGTCCATTGGCAATGGCTTCAGCTATACCCTGACCGACTTGCTCCTCGTCCTGGTATACGGCAGCCGTGTCGATATGTCTGTATCCAGCTTCGATTGCCCAATATACTGCTTGGCGGACCTCGTCTATTGAGTCAGACTAAACAGAAAAGACATATTTTTTAAAGACAACCAACTTAGCATCCGTTGCTCCGCGATTTTCGAATAAATTTTGATTGAATGATAAGACATGGAGTTTGAGTTTTTCATAGCGACCATGATGCAAATTTGGTTATGTTGGCAATGACTAATTCGTTTTGCAGATGCTTCCTTATGATTCAACTGTTATAGTTAGTCATAGATAAGCGTATCTTAGCGTAAATTAATTTATTTTTTCTGAAGGTACGTAAAGGAGGAATCAAATGCTTATTTTGGCTTTTCGTTTTTTAAGATTTTATTTATAACACAACAGTTAAAAAAACTGTGTATCAAACTGACATATCTGATCTTCATGAGCATCAGTGATAAATGAGTTGAGCCAAACGCTTGTCTGTCTATTAAAGCAGAAGAAGATGAGTTGATAGAAGTACAAAAATGAAATCTAGTGCATAACGTTTCTGAATACCTTTGGATGTATACTAATAAAAATTGTTTGTCTCATTTTATAGTATCTATACTAATATGTAAATCTACAGTGGTTTTACGGATGTTCCGTTATAACCACTGAACCGTGCATCCGATTGACTTGAAACTTGGTATCCATGTAGAAAATACATGTACTTAATGGATAGGCTAATATTTATATGAGTGCTGGACTCCCTACATCAGTTACAGGGGCGTTAATGATGAGAATCTTTGTGGGGGTGAATAATAATATTAATTATAAATGTCCAGCGAAGCGGACGGGTACAGTTAGTTTCTTATAATTATCTGTAGTGCACGTTTCTATTCAGCTCTCCGACGATCTAGCCTTGACATATTTTAAAAATCACGAAAACCTTTGTTCGTTCGAGATTATTGTTTTGTTTTGTGCATCAATAGGTATGTGAAGAACTCGTACGTGCTCATTAAAGAATAGTGTTGATAAGTTGTCAAGCTACTCGGATATCTTACAAAATTTGTTGTAACACAAAAAATTCGTGAAGGCAAAACAAACTGGTATTCGATTTCATTGAACTTCAAGTTTCGTAACATATTTTGGAAGTCGATTCAAACAGTACCTACATAAAAAAATTTATTTGATCTAACACGCGATCATTAATTGTCGTATGAAACGAACTTGATCAATAAATGTATTTAACCTATAATTAAATATAATACAACTATCAGAATAATACATCAGTCATTTAATAAACACGTCACATAGTCACATCAACACAGTCAATAAGCTATATGATCAGGTCAGTGATTCTCAACCACTGTTCCGCGGCACTTTTGTGTGCCGCCAAATTTCAAAAGTGTGCCGCCAAATTTTGTGAATATATAATAATGTTAATATTATTAAATTATATCATTTTAAAAGAAAAATATTTTAAACATGAATATATAGTAAATCCACAAAAAAAATTAGTATATTTTAGTTTATTTCGTGTATTAAAATTTTTTGATAAACTATTTATGCAGTGTGTTGGAGTAAGTAAATAATTTTTATCTTTTTTTTTGTTCGAAACGTTAAATATGTGCCGCAACAAAAAAAAGGTTGAGAATCACTGATCTAGGTATAATAAGATTCAAATCGTATGGAAGGTACAAAAATTTCTAAGTAAAAAACACACGCAGTTCACGTTTGCCACGATAAAGTAATTACATCGTAAATAAAATCAAACCAATCATTAATTTTTGTGATTACCTGTTAGTGACCTAACAAGGATTTGCAATACCAATCTGCATATTTTTGCCGCATTCGGGTTTCAAGGTTAGGATCATTATTACAATACAATTATGAGTTCGACCTCATGTCTCAAGGTGAGCAGCGGCGTTCAAATTATAGTCTAGCTTTGACACTAAGAGGACCGTAACCTTGTCTTTCGATCTACATCAAAAAAATACCCTTGAACATCGAAAATAAGATTACTCTAAGTTTATCACGACTAATATTATAATTTATTCAGTTTCCTAAAGTTCACGAGCGCTATGAGCTCTAATAAACATTTATTTTTATTAATTTGTCCATATACGAAAACGAATAAAAATTCATAGCTAATTATGTTAAAGAACGGGTTGCCTTACGAAATAAATGAATATTGATATAACATTAACCCAATTTTAAAAACGAACTCTTTAACTATCTTTTCAATGATCGATGGTGGTCACCACCTGGTGTTAAGTGGTTACTTACTGGAGCCCATAGACATCTACAACGTAAATGTGCCACACACCTTGAGATATAAGTTCTAAGGTCTCAAGTATAGTTACAACGGCTGCCCCACCCTTCAAACCGAAACGCATTACTGCTTCACACCAGAAATAGGCAGGGTGGTGGTACCGACCCGCGCGGACTCACAAGAGGTCCTACCATCAGTAATTACGCAAATTATAATTTTGCGGGTTTGGTTTTTATTACACGATGTTATTAGTTCATCGTGGAAGTCAATCGTGAACATTTGTTGAGTACGTATTTCATTAGAAAAATTGGTTACCTTTAAACCACGACGACTTCAAATACTAACGCTGATCGCGTGTTAGTATTAGCGTCGGAAATAATACAATATAAACATTTAACTTGAGACTAAAACGTTAGAAGTAGATTCCATTGTGTCTAACGGCTCGCAAAAAAAAAAAACTTATCTATGGAACATTTAATAAGACGTACCTCCTTAGCTGTTCCTCGTCCAGTTCCCAAAGCTACTATGGGTATAGTATTACCATCGTTCAGCTGTATGCAAGGCGCTTGCACCGCCATTGCTGCCTGGAAAAGAAATAATGAAAAGATTCAGTACAACGCCTAAACTGACCTCTGCATTGTGATCAAGGACAGATTGCTTAAAAAAAGGAAAGTTTGTCTCAATTTTAAGTTTTAAAATAGCACTTATTTTGTTTGTTTAAATAAAATTATAAATGGCTACTGTTTTGTGCGCATCACAGGTATAAATTTTCGATTTTTTTTTTTTTAATTTTACTTTTTATCTTTTGCGCTGAGGGCCCCAATTATTAAGGTATAACTAAACACAGAAAAAAAAAATATCATACAAGTCTTTATTTGTTAAAGACAAATTGATTAAATTTTATCGATTTGTGGTTTCCGAAAATTTACAAAATCCTTCATTTAAAATAAAATATAGGTACATCTACAGGAGCAATGAGAAGCGAATCGAAGCGAAGCCATCTAGTGGCCGACGCCCGTAAACATTTTTGTTGAGTACTTGAGTCGCTTATCTATAACTAATTTATGTGTATTATCTATGGCTCCCAATACCGCCACAACCGGTCAAAAAGCGTACATAGTTACTTTTAACTCGTCGCTCGACTATATCCATACTAATATTATGTGAAAGCCGGTTTCGCTTTCACGTCTGCACCGATCGTGGTGACAATGTTTGCTGCACATTGTAAGGAGTACGGAAATTGATATAGAGATACATTTAGAACAAAGTACTAATCAGATCGTCATCATCACATGAGGACTCCATTGAGCGGATGGTGGTGCAAGGGAAAGTCGAGGGCAAAAGATCTCGCGGACGATCTTTAACACAATGGACCGACCTCATAAAATCTGTGACTCACTCCAGCATAAATGATTGCTCTCACTCTGCGAAACATCGTGCCACATGGCGTCGCATCGCGAGAGCATCGGTATCGCAGGATCCGCATGATGCATGACCACGACCACTCTGTCAAGAGTGTACGAATAGGAAGAAAAACTAATCAGACACCACCACCCGCCATTTCTGCCACAAAGAGGTAATGAGTTTGCCTAGGTCGGGCAGTCGTTAAACTGTAAGAACGGGGACCTTAGAACTCATGTCGCAAGGTGGCTGGCGGCATTAACGTTGTGGATGTCTACATTAAGTAGGCCGTGAGCTGGACTACACATCTACCATAAATAATAATAAAAAAATAATAAATCCTATTTCGGAAAACAAAAACCACGTTAAGTGAAGCCGCAAGTAAAAATTAATGGGAAAATAATTAAGGTCAACGACACCAAGCTATGAACGCCTCGTGTGCTATTGGTGACAAACATATTTACAAAAGAACAAGTATCTGGAAGAGTAACAAAGAAATTAAGTTTAAAAATCGAATCATTTTAAATTAATCCAATACGTCCATAATACGATATACTTCCTATGTCTATGTTCGTCATGGAAAAATATTAAGTTTATGGTAATTAACAAGGATGATATTGAAGACATGAGGAAAATGAGATTCGTTCAGGTTTGAATAATCAGAGGCGGTTTCTAGAAAAAAAATGACCTCAGAACGTGTTTTTTTTTTATTTACCTAAACCACAAATCAGAATGCTTTATATAAAAAAAAAACATATAGAAATATAATTTTGTGGAATAAGGAAACTAATTTATATTCTCGGCGTTGTGGCGACCGAAGAAAAACCCATTTTTTATAGAATACACTTTGTATGCCTAATATGCCACATTCTACATTTACATTTTACATTATGTATGTACGTATGAGTTCACAAATTATTAGTTAGGTAATCAAAACCTACGTTGTCCTAGACCAGTGTAGAAATTGCCAGCCACAAAAAATATTGTAACACAAAGATAAATAATAATAAAAAAACTTTAAAAAAAGTTAAATTCCAAAGTAATCCTAATTTTCAGTGTCAAAATAATTATGTTCAATAACATAATATGTATGTATGTATAAACTAGTTTTTTTTTTTACTTTCAAAATTTGTTTACTTTAATCCGTATATTTGGCTTTACTTAGTAAAACGATACACGCGGGAATGTTTTAGCTACTTATTATTGCTTACGGAACCTATTTTGTTGTGACATTTTCAACTTTAAATTAAAGTGTATTTTCGGGTGAAAAATTCATTACAAAAAACAAAGAGACAATATCGGGAACGCACAAATCACAACATCAATGTCACCGTTGTGAAATGAAATTGATACTCCAATTGGGATCCTATTTTTAGAGCCATTTCTATCGTAGAAATGATTAAAAACTCTTTTACGTTTCACCTTCATATATATCGGGAATTTCAAGATTGTCAATTCCAAAAAGCATTAAATTCTCTTTTGCATCAGCGAAGACTACGTATCGATCTATTACAGATCGATGCCGTTAAATTTATCAGATACCAGATAGATCGCATAGATGTGAATAATTAACAAATTTATTAATAGAAAACTGTTTTAATAACAACCAATACGTATATGTACTTCTATATCATGCTGTATCTGCAGTAACAATGTATTTTTCCTACCTAAGCCTTGAGAGGCTATTTCAGCGTAACCTTAACTAGTAGGTGAGCTCACGGGGCTCAAACCGGGAGTGTTGCTAACACTGTCCCTAACAACAGCAGTGCATCGCAGAATCTACCACCGGATCGAAAACGCGACCCACTAAGAAGATCGTTTTCATGTCCCAAGATTACTCAAAACTTTCATAAAGTATTTTTTTCTTCATAAATTATACACAACGAGGGGTGAAAGGCTATTTGGTTTAAGCACGGTTTAGGTACATTTTTGCAACTTTACAGGTAAGCCATTTAAAGCTTAAAATTTGGAAAAAATATCTAGACCAAAAAAGCTTCTTCCACTATTTGAATGGGATAAACATAACTGAAGTTCAATTAAAAATGTCGAATGGTTGATACTAATACCAAATAAAACGGACCTTTGATATGTATATCGAGGGGTATAAGACTATTTGTTTTAAGCGGCATTTCATTTAATACGCGAATCTTTGTTCAAGGTGCGTTTTGTTTGGTATTTGCATCAATAGTTCGATGTTTGTAATTGAACTTCAATTAAGTTTATTCCATTCATATAGCTGAACAAAATCTTTTTCTTTATTGTGTTTTTTTCAAAAATTTTAACTTTCAAAGGCTCTTCTGTAAAGTTGCAAAGATGTCGCTTAAATCAAATAGCCCCCTCGGTATATAAACAGTCTTTCCCCCCTCGGTATATAAATAGTCTTTCCCCCCTCGGTATATAAATAGTCTTTCCCCCCTCGGTATATAGATAGTCTTTGCCCTCTCGGTATATTCCCTTGTTAACCGACCTCACAAAAACTCAATTTGTAAGTAAATCCTTCGCAGTCATCGCAGAAGTTTTTGTCAATTAAATTGATTTTGATGAGTTCTTTTTTTTTCATTTGAAATCGGTGACATTTCATTTGGTCCCACGTTACTTTATTACAGGATCCGACCAGCAGTTTTTGAGTTATCCTTAATAATACATTTTATTAGACATGGACTGTATTGATGATATTCTTATTTAATTTTGTTGATGGGGATTTTCTTTTTTGTAAAAAACATGAATTTTTTTTTATTGAACTTTTCTCCACACATTCGGTCAAATTTTTCGTAATAATGTAGTGGGCATAATTAATTCGAAGAAAATACTAAGATACGACCTTGTTTATCACATTATAAGATTTGCATTTTTGTTAAACAAAAATATAGACATCTTGATCATCTTTCAAAAAATATCATTTTATTTGAAATAAATTAAGTTATGATAAACGCTCACCTTTGACCACGTAATAAATGCGAGCTTAAATTATTATTAAATATATTTACTTATTTTTAAACGAATTTGAAAGAATGAAATATGAAATGTTACATATTTTAAATTATTCTATTTTTATTTTATTTTCAAACAATATTTTACAATATCAATAAATCTGTACCAAAATTTTGTGTAGCTTTAATAATAGTTTTGTTATGTGTATGGTAAATAATATTTTAGCAGTACACGTGATTATAATTTTGTTTGTTTCAAAATAAATAAAAATATTGTGAGATTCCACAATAGAGGAAGCCTTTTTTTTCTAAGTTACAGTTCCATGAACACGAGATCCACATTAATTTGATTTGTTAGTTCAGCGAAAACATAATATTAAATCAACTCACGTTCAACAAACATGTTAAGGTGATTATTCTCAGCAAACTGTCCATCTTGCCGTGCCTGTGGACGATGCAACACTGAACAGACACAACAAAACCCAATATAATATATTAGATAATGTAGCGTAGAATAAAAGACCTGTTTTTGAGCTTCGTAGTATAGAAAACGTGCAGCAATACCACTGGATTAAAATTTTTATTTCAGTTTCGTAAACTATGAAGCTACGGACTTAACACAGTGACTGGTATGGTGGCGGTTACTCAGTTAATATTATTTCATTATTTAATTTTAATTTTATATTAGTCGTTGAAAATTTTAATTTTAATAATTCTGATCCGGCTTTATTTGGTTTGATTTCATTTTCTTTTATTTTTATTTTGAATAATTCTGATAAATTGTAATTTTAATTTTATTGTATTTTAATTTAAATATTATGTAATTGTATGTGAAATTTTATGGGCTTAAGCTGCCAGAAATAAACGCATTTCATTTATACATTCATTCATAAATAAGTTCGTTTCATATTTTTAACAGTATTAATCGTTAATAGATTACTTACGGTCTTATTCTGAATGTGGTATCGTAGCTTTATAAGCTTGTTTATAGGCCTATGTATAACTTACTGCTACTACTAGCATAACTTCTTTTTTGTTTTTTGATCCTATCGAAAGCTCGATCAGATTCTGCATCGACAATCGTTTGCTACGACCTCATTAACTAAATTGTCATTTTAGCACTATTGTTATTTGGTAGAAAAAAATCTTTTTTTGATTTTTTATTGCTTAGATGGGTGGACGAGCTCACAGCCCACCTGATGTTTAGTGTTTACTGAAGCTCATAGACATCTACAACGTAAATGCGCCTCCCACCTTGAGATATAGGTTCTAAGGTCTCAAGTATAGTTACAACGGCTGCCCCACCCTTTGAACCGAAACGCATTACTGCTTCACGGCAGAAATAGGCAGGGTGGCGGTACCTACCCGTGCGGACTCACAAGAGGACCTACCACCAGTAATTACGCAAATTATAATTTTGCGGATTTAATTTGATCTAATTCAGTTATGGAAATTGCACCCGATGTTATATTGTCCCGCGTCTCGAAGTTTTCTCGATTTTGTCCTTAATTTTATAATGCACTATAATCCGTAAGCTTGCTCAGGCTTAAAGCATAAGCCACACGGCTGCTTTGCCACACCCCGTAGGTACTTACCTTACACGCTGCATTCGTTATTACCATTCGCGTGGCACACAACAAAAACATAACCAATTATAAAAAATTATAGCTTACTGAGTATCTCGCCGGATCCTCTCAGTGGGTCGCGTTTCCGATCCGGCGGTAAATTCTGCGAAGAACAGCTCTTGCTAGGGCCAGTGTTAGTAACAATTCAGATTTGAGCCCGAGAGCTCACCTACACGCTAGGGTGAAGTTGAAATAGCTTCTCAAAGCTAACAGAATATATAGAAAAAAAAATTACAATCAGATGGTAATCGGATTTAACTAATAACCATGATTATTTCGAACTATCAAAGGATCCCGGCTAGTCTAAGTTTGTTGGGCTATTCATATAAATTTTGCTATGCAAGGTTTATCGAATGATTCTGAATAACATTCTTTGACATTGCTTTAGTTTAATCGTTGGTCCGATCAGATCCGCACCGCTTTGGACAGTACAGTGTACAGCGCGCTGCATGACGCCGTGGACAGGGGAAAGTGGAAAAGGATCCTAAGATTGAAGCTCATGGGTGATGGTGGTCACGACCCTCAGACATGAGGAACACGACTCGAGGACGAGGAGTTTAACTTCAATAATTCATTGTTGATAAGGCCAACTTAAGAATTATATCAAACATTTCATAGCTTAAAATAAAATGATGTTTCAACTAATATCGTTTAAATATCTTCGATAAGTCTTTTAATTATGAATAAGCCAGTTAGTAACCATGTAATCACATTATTGCGGCTGACATTAAAATTCTTAGATAATATGTGCCAACATAAAGTACTTATAAAATTACAGGGCGTACATTGCAAAACTTGTCGCTTTTTATGTCAGTGAATGTATGAAATAATTCAGCGGATATGTATAGTTGCGACAAATGTGAACAGGATCAGAAAAAAAGCAAGTACACAGTCCATATATCTTGGAAAAACTTTATTCAAAGAAGATGAGAAATTAGGATTTCATAAACGTTGCTTAAAAGGCTGCATGTCTAAATATAACATTAACTTCGATTCTAGCGAGTCAAAATCAAAACTACTATTAAGGTTTAATATCACGTTTTTTTTTAATATCGTTATATTAGGTAATTCAGACGCTTCGAACACTACGATTTCTGCGATCACAAACGACTTTTTATTCTACCTATGCTGATAGCCTTGAGAGGCTATTTCAGCTTCACTTTAACTTGTGGGTGAGCTCACGGGGCTCAAGCCGGAGTGTTGCTAACACTGGCCCTTTTTTTTTTCGGGTAGAGGGCCGTACCTCCTACGAGGTCCCCGCGCAAAGCTAGAGCAGTGCTTCGCAGAATCTACTATCGGATCGGAAACGCAACCCACTGAGAAGATCCGGCGAGAAACTCAGTAGGCTGTGTCTATGAGTAAATTCGCTCGTCAAGCCCTTCGTCGCGAGAGACGGGTTCGACGAGGATGGTGACCGGTGCTTGTGGGGCCTAAAAGCACCGTTAATGGATCGGGAGGATCCGTAATGACGTGAGTGGACGACTAAGGCGTTAATCGTCGACAGCTGAATATTGTGCTAACTACCGCCTAGAAATACCTCTAGACTGCATACAGAATGACCTAGAGATCTTTTGAGGTCTTGCAGTTTTTTTACTTGTTTTTTCATCTTCACGATACACAGATCCCAGGTATTACGAGTATACATATAAGCACAATTGCATATAGTGTCCAATTGATTATGGTCTTCAATTTTTGTTTCCAAGCCATGGAACTTACGTAATGTTGAGTGTATCAATAATGCTAGTGCTTGACAACCTGTTTTTTATTTATTTTCTAGATGCGTGGACGAGCTCACACGGCCAACCTGGTTATGCGATTACCAGAACCCATAGACATCTACAATCTAAATGCTGCTACTAATCTTAAGACATGAACTCAAAGGTATCAGTTTTTACACTACGACGGCCACTCCATCTTTCCAATCAAAACGCATTATTGCTTCACGATAGAAATCTCCAAAGTGGGGGTACCTACCAGTGCGGAGTGACAAGACGTCCTACCACCAATAATTACACAAATTATAATGTGGCGAGTTTGATTTTTATTACACACATGTTATTTCTCCAACGTGGAAGTAAATTCTGAACATTTATTAAGTACGCATTTTATTAGAAACATTGGCACCTCCTACGGGGTTCGAATTCCGTTGCATCGCATGATACGAATCCAGCGGATGTCTTATTCTTTAGGCCACGAAAACTTCATTTACAACACAAACGATGTTCGCAAAAGTTCAATAGAACTGATAAAAACTATGTTGCATCAAAATATTCGTAGCAACACAGACTCCACAGTTCTATCATGATAGGCATCAAGCTATGTGCTTATATCACCGTCTTACATATGTCTACATCCGTGCACTCATACGTTCTAACATGAAATGTACAGTGAATATTTTGTAGCAGAATAATAACTCCGTCAAACAAACAAAAAATCAGAGCCGAATTGAGAACCGTCCTCCTGTTTATATAACAAACTAAAAATAAAAACATTCATTTTATTTTAGCTCATTTAACTGTCATTTCTGTGATATTTTTGCGCTGTGTCCCTTTAAGCCTGCGGTACCATTGTACGCTATGTCGACAGGGCAAAATCGAATCGCATATTGCAAAACACATCTTGCTAGAATAAATAATGAGTACATGCGTTCAATGGGCATACACTGGTTTTTTTTTCACAATTGTAATTGGTAACACGTTTTATGTAATGTGCCATGTTTATAGTTTCGTTTTACGCATAAAAGGAACATATTCCTAAGCCTTTTTCTAGATCTGCACTACGTTTTTATAAGAATACTAGCTGGGTCGGCAGACTTCGTAGTGCCTCAATCGATAAATGAAAAACCTAAACTTTTGTATAAAATAAACTTAAAACAAACAAAAGGAATCCGTCCGACGGGGGGCACGTCAAAGGAAAAACAAAATTGTTATTTTTATTTAATTCACAGCATTTTCATATTTATTTACCTTTTAAACCTTCTCTGGACTTCCACAAATCATTCAAGACCAAAATTAGCCAAATCGGTTCAGCCGTTCTCGAGTTTTAGCGAGACTAACGAACAGCAATTCATTTTTATATACCTATATAGGTATAGAAGATAGATAGAAGACAGATGTATACGCTTTTAAATTCGGCAAAGCAATTCGCAAATTGTAAGCAACTATGTATGGGCTTTGCAGTGAGAAACGCTGGGTCACGTTGGATACAGTGTGCTTAGTGCGAGTTTTTTAACGTTCTCGATAGCGTAAAAGTTAGCTCGTATTTGTATGGAATGGGATCGTTTGCGTACGTTTGCCGCTAGAGGCGCTGTTCCAACTGCATACAAAATTGGATTAACTTTTACACTATCGAGAACGTTAGAAAACTCGCACTAAGCACACCGGTGGCATTGGACCGGCTGCCCTGGAGATCAGTTGGAGAGGCCTATGTTCAGCAGTGTACAGTGGACATGATGGCTGAGATCATGATGATGATGATGAGTTTTGCAATAAATGGTTTAATTAAATCATATCATACCAAGCATCATATGCATTAACTGCCCTTCGGCTGACCCCCTTGCTCGCCCAGAAACGTCTTCAAGCCAACCGTTCCTACTTCAATCACAAACAAAATTACTGGTGGTAGGACCTCTTGTAAGTCCGCACGGGTAGCTACCACCACCCTGCCTATTTCTGCCGTGAAGCAGCAATGAGTTTTGGTTTGAAGGGTGGGCCAGCCGTTGTACTGAGACCTTAGAACTCATATCTCAAGGTGGGTGGCGGCATTTAGGCTATAGATGTCTATGGGCTCCAGTAACCACTTAATACCAGGTGGGCTGTCAGCTCGTCCACACATATAAGCAATAAAAAAAACCAACCAAATTT